AAAAATGGAGCTTCTACTCAAATATGACTATCTCTATCTATAAAAGGCAGGATGTGTATGTGTGTAACGAATGCATGGCTGAATTTTTGACGGATTTGCACTAAAATTTACATGCACATGCTCCAAGTTAGCAGGATGGCCAACACTGACTTTGCATTTCCCAACTCCGATCGATAGTGGAAATAATCGATGTTTTTCATGCTTCTACGGCAGTTTTCATGTAGTTTGTGGCCATTTTGTACTGGCCAGAGTGAGTGCCAATAGCTGGCTGCCACGAATAGGCAGGAAGATTCTATTGGCCAGCGTGAGAGCCAACAGCTGACTGACACGAATGTTAACTAGCATGCAAAAAAAATTCGATAGCTGCATTCGTCACAAGTGGGAAAAATTTAAATCAGCATGGCACTTTACTCCAATTGGTTCATTCACTTGCTTAAACTCAATGTTGATTCTGATTCTGCAGAACTGAGTTGGGTGTGAAAAAGTATTTGTTGTTAACATTCTTTTTTCATTCAGTTTTTCCAATTACAAGTCCTTTTTTAAAGCTGATCTTTTTGCGTTCATTTTGTTTAGTTCTTTTTGTCGTAACATTTAATGTTTAGTATAGAGCTTAGAAAAAATTTGCAGTGTGAGATAGGCAAGAAGTAAGGCATGTAGCAACATCAGCACGGCAAAGGGCACTCCTTTAAAGGCAAGGAAGGGCAAAAATATTTTAAGTCAAGTGATAGCGATTGCTGTATGAGTCGTACAATTTTTGAATCAAGCACGGGCAATGCTGGGCCATGCTGCTAGTCAAAAATAAAATTTAAACAAAATAAATTATATATACACACACTTACACACGTACACTTTTTCTTTTCTTTTTTTTGTTCTGTTGATTTTATATACTTTTTGTTTGGTATCATATTTGACATAACTGGAGTGATTGATTTAAAAAATATTTTTAATTTATTTCTCATTGATATTTTGGTAACTAGGATTACAGATTATAAGGGCTCTTAAGTAAATACCTGCTTGTGCCAAATTTTATTTTATTGTTGGGATATGAGCATTTAGTTTTAAATTGCTATTATTGATTTTTGTCCATTCTGATTATATCAACAAATAATCTAGATCTGATATTAGGCACTGTTTCCCTATGAAAATAACCAATTTTAAATCTATACTCTCTCTTTCTCTCCTTCCCTCACACACACACACACACACACACACACACACACACACACACAATATTGAGTTGTCTGTTCTCATAATTGTTTATGTAATCTCATTCACACATTTTAATTTTCACAAGTACGTGCTCTTGGGCTAATTGTTAATTATAGTTGCAGTCTGGCCACACATTGTCAATAAATGTTTGCATAAAAAGAATCTTGCTGACCTTGAAGACAAGTTTGTCTTGCTGATCTGTTGCTTTTTGTTTTATTAGCTACCCAAGTCTTGTAATGCTGTCTAATCTAAATGTAATAAATATCTAGTGGTATGTTTCAATTGTATAGTTGATCACTGTTTTGCTATCAACCACAAGGTTGGTAGTTCAATCTAAACTAAGGAAAAGCAGTAATGAATTTTCTGTCAACTTGCTGTGTGTGACAGTTGGAAATTTCCTATTGGCATTTTTCGTTTGTACCAGGTAAAAGTCTATATTTTAAATGCTGATTTTTTTCTTTTTCGTTTCTTTTTTTTTTTTTTTTTTTTTTTTTTTTTTTTTTTTTAAAATATTTTTATGTTTTTATTTTTTGTTTTATTTTTTTATTTTATTATTAAAAGAAGTCAGACTCTCCCCATTTGAAAGTTTTATGTAATATGCCCTTACTCCATCACGTTCTTTTCTGTATATGAGACTAAACAATAAATATTCCAATATATTTTGTTCTTGAAAATTAATTTACTATTGTGAATCTCATTATTCCTATTAAAACCATAAAAATATATATTTGCTATTTTTATTTTAATTATTTTATATTCTGTTAATTATCAGCTTTTGATAACCTTATGTCTTTTGATATCTCAAAAGAAAAATATTACAAAAAAAAAAAACAATTTCTATATGGCTGGCATAATGTATTATTACCATATCTCATATTTGTAGCTGAAGGTTGCTGTCTTTTTTTAAGGTTTACTAATAATACAAATCTTTTTTAGTATTGTAATTTTCTATCAGACCTTGTCAGCTAGAGTTTCTATTTATGTAAATGGCACTAAAGTAGATTTTAATTTTTATTTATTAGTATTTTATTGAGAATTTAAACAACCAACTGTTAATATTTTCTCGATTTGTACAATTAAAGAATGAACTTAATGAATAACTTGACCTTTAAAAAAGAATGTATGAACATATTTTAGGACAATTTTGTTTTCAAAGTTACGAACATGGATAAAAATTACTGGTTACAAATTCTGTTTTTTAGAAATGTGGATGAAGACAAAATTAAAGAAAAATTATGGATATTGATAAAACTTAGCTAACACTATATTTTACAATCATTTATTTTAAGCCATTTTAATACTTACCATTATAAATAGACACTAGTTTTAATACAATTTTTTTTCCAGTAAATGACAAAGTTCTTTTTTTCTGATATTTTTTCTAAGTAGTTCAAAATTTGTATTGCCTATCATAAAAATTGACAATAAATGTTCAACTAGAACTAACCTTTTTTTCTTTCACTGTTAGTTCACCCACTACATAGCACAAGGGTCACTCAAGGTAGAGGCTTACTGAGTGAAATTATCAGGGAGGGGAAAGTAAAAGAGTATTATGAGGACAAGTCGGATATCTGTTGATATGGGACTTAGAGACGAAGGCTCTAGTTGTCAGGGAAGCATTCTCTTGTGAGTTTGTTCCACAAAATAACAAGTCTTAAGAAGTTAGCATGATGCTCAGCTATATTGGAACATGAGTAGGCTTATCAATAATTTGAGTCGGCTATCAAGAAATTTCCCCCTTCCTCAGTTCTGTTTGAATGGACTAGCCACTCCTTGTGGTGAATGTTGAAATCACTACAAGTGTGAATGGTAGCTGGTGAGCAAGGGTGAATAGCCAGTGATTATGAGATCTTGAATTGAAATAAATGGTCTGAGTCCAGTTTCTGATATGAACAGGAGGTCAGACTTGATCTCTTGAAGATCATAAACCCCATATGTTATTGAAGGAGATGGAGAATTTAGGGTCTACTTCATGTATGGTTGATCTGTGTTATAATGATCATTTGGTTGCAAAGGAAAGGAACAAAAAGGATTAAATTTGCAACTGTGTATTTGAAAATTTGGAATTCCAAGGGAAAATTCAGGGTTGTTTGAAATTTGGTAAAAATTGTTCATGTGTGATTCTTCATTTGCTTTTTGTAAGGAAAGTGATTAGGTCTAAGGGCATTGTTGGTAGGGCCAGGAATTGACTGATTTCTTGGGTTGGTTGGTTGAGACGGATTAACCGTTGATGGGGTTTGACATATAACTTTCTTTAAGGTTGAAATTGATGCCTGTGAGGTGTTGATCAGCTGGTGGTTATGTGATACCAAGATGTTGAAGCTGAACTGCTTGGTAAGGTGGGTTGGTGGGTTTGTTGATCAAGGTCACAGTGGTTGGTTGATTTGTTGTGAGGTGCATTGGTCACAGTGGTGATGACGAGGGAGGCCTGATGCTGGATGATGAAAACATTGTGGCATTAGAAATAAAGGTGGTGACGAGAGGTAATCATGCTGACAGTGCACCTGTGTGCTGACAGGTGGCCTTTTGATCTGCAACTGTGTTGCTCATTATGATGGGTTATCAGATTAGGTCACATTTGAAAATTCAATGCTACTAAACATTGATTTTCTTCTCATTTGTAGCCCAACATATTTTAAAAAGTAACCCAGAAAAGTTGCAAATAGCAACTCTCAAAATTTAGTAGCAAAAGTTTTTGAATAAAGAAATCAGACAATTTGCATTGTTGAAATAGATGTGATATGAGTAGTTCTTTAGTTATAGGATGGCTTAGAAGCTACACTGTTTTGGTATAATTTAAGTTTCTGAATTTTGATTGTCTCCTGTGATCTGTTGAAACTGTTCAATGATTTTCAGAATTGCTATGTGAAATAGGTTAATGCTTGCAGTCCCAGGTCATGTTACATGGTAAATATCATAGTTAATCCTTTGAAGCACACATTTCTGCTTTGTTTCATGGCTCTGTTGAAGAAATCTTTTATTTGCCTATTCCAATATTGTTTCTACTTATCTAGAAAGTTAGCTTTATATTGATATGCTGGATCTTTCATTATGTCTTTTAGAGAAAGGGTGGTAACTTGAGATAGGTACTGTGTTACGTAGTATAAATAGTAGGGAAGATTTAATTAAATTCTATGTGAACAAAACCTTTGTCAAGTCATTTGGCAATGGGAAATCATGCATAGTGTCTGTCAGAATTCAAACTTGATTCACTGATTGTTTTTTTTTTCTTTTGATTTCAGTAACCATTACTCTATTTTCCATTTACATAAGTATTCTAAAATACAAGTCATTTGGATTATTATATTTTGTTAAAGATTTAAGTATAATGCAATCTGAATTATTTTGAAATAAGCATTTTTATTTAATTGTAAATAAATTGTTCATCTCTGGTACATGGAGGGTGATACTCATTACCATATATTCAAATCATAAGAAAAGATAAAAATGAAGGCATTCACTTAGGGGCTTTGTAGATTATGGCATAAATTTCCCATTATTTATTATAAATTCAATAAATACTGAACTTGATTTCTATCTAACTAGAGATTCAGTCATTGCGAAATGTTAATTGACATTTTTGTACAATAGTTAATTTGAATTAAAATGAATGGTAAGAAATGTTCTGATTGTGTACATCAAACTTGTCATTAAATTTTATTTTTTAAAAAAAAACAAAAATAAAGACAATAAACAATTTTAAAATTCTAATTTCAACAGGACCAATGCCTGCTGCAGTTATGGATATAGAAGCCCCTAGTAGCTCTGAAAAGCAGGTGACAGAATCTGTGATGGAAGAAGTTCAAAGTTCAGTTCCAAATTTGCTTTTTGAGGGTGAGTCTATATTTTGTACAGATTATTTATTCTATTGTCATTTTATCAATTTTTGCTCATATTTACAAAAGTTCAGCTGCTTGATAATGAAAAACATTTTTTCTAAGTGGGTATAAGTTTGAAGATATATATAGTTTAAGATGTTATATTTATGGGGGAAGAGTGTTCAATATTGATAATGCATTGGTAGATATGACCATTATTGACATAGAAATCAGCATAGCATGATTACTGTAAGTTTTATGCTTCATGATCTTCACACTTTACCACTACTCCTTTCATAGGAGATATATATATATATATATATATATATATATATATGTCACTGGGGGTTTAATGGAAGTTGGTGAAAGAGGAAAATTGCTCATCCCAGCTATTTTGTTTAGGCTATTTATTGATGCATTTGGTTTTGTATCAGTCTCAACAAAGATCAATGAGTGGTTTGAAATGACTAACAGAAGTCACACAGTAGCAGAATATTTATCAGTACATGTGATGAGAAAGATGTTACTGCATATATGATGCAGAAGTCATGGTATTATATTCATTCTTCATCAGTTTAAATCACAACTCTATCAGCCTGCGGTCTGTGGATTGTAAATATGAATACTATGAATGAAAGCCATGCAGAAGCATATAAATAAGAAAATTGGGTCCTCATTATTGGAATCTTTGCTACATCTTTGATATATACCCCAAGCCTGTAGCCATGGTGCTTTAGAGGGTTTTGTTTAATGATTAGAGGTGAGTAGCGAATGATTTTGAATTCTTGCACTGGAGGAAATAGACTGAGACCAGTTTCAGACAGGAACATGAAGTCATATTTAGCCTCTTGGAATTCAACCTATGGAAAGGTGGAACATATACCCCTTATGGTGTAGGAGATGGAAAACTTTAACTTTTTTTTGGTTGGGGGAAGAACTGGGTTTGATTTACTGTTTGCTTTATATATAGAACTGTTTGTGTATGGGATGGTGAAGAATCAAGGCATATACACAAGTAGTATATGTAAAGTGTCTGGATTGTCAGAAAATACAGCCATAACTGTACACTTCATCATAGCATCAAAAGGATCCACCGAAAAACTATGTTATTGTCCTGATCCTATTCACAAAATATCAGGTGGAAAATGGCATCCCTAAAAACATTTACCTCTATCTCCCTTAATGAAGAGACAAACAATCCAAGAATGAGAAGAAAATACAAGTATACCACTTGAAGTGAACATGAGTTATCTGCCCAGTAATCAATGCAGCAGAACTGCTTGAGTCAGAATCATTATATTTAAGTAGGTCTCACAGTCACTGAAACAATCTTGCTCATATGTGAAGACTAAAGGACCTACTGGTATGAATATTCACAAGATATTGCATAGACTATATAAGGATGATCTTGGAGATCATTTGTTGTCATCAGAGGTTATCAAAGAACACTACCATTTCTTGCAGATTGGAGTGAAATGATATGAAGTACAGAAACGTTTTTGATTCAACAAATGGTAGAATAAAGCCAAATTTAATGTCAGAAATCACATGAGGTAGACTTACTTTGTGGCCATTATTACCCTTATGGCCTGTATTACAAATATTCTTTGTGGTAAACTGGCAAAAAAGGGGATAGGTGCTGATCCCTGGTGACCTCTAATGACCTTATTGGTTACCAGAGGTCAGTTTTTTTGTTTTTTTTTATTAAGATGGCCTTTCATTCAAATAAAAGTTTCTCAAATGCTCAGTATTAAATTCATTATTTTTCACATTTTAAATGTAAAAAAATGTCCCAAAACTACAGAATCCCAGTACTTCTGTGTACAATGCATTCTTACTCGAGAAAATAATGCAATCATTGAAATAAAGCTATTTCATCAGATTCCAGTAGTAGTTCAACTGTAAAAACCAATTCATGTTTCTGGACAGTTTTGAGACTGTTCAGAACCAAAATCAGTTTTTTAACTTGGACTCTCTGTTGTTCCTTCTTCATAATCTTCAACTAAAAAAGTTGGGATGTCTATCATGCTACTCGGAAATCTCAACTTTCCAAAATTATGCAATGAAACTTAGCTCACTGTCACACATCTTTTTTCCCCCATATGTCATCAAGGCAACTATCTTAGCTTGGAAGATATGATGTATGAGGATTGGCAGAAATGTTTATAGGCTGACCAAGATACTCTCATGGATTGTGACTGAATGAGGTTTATTTTTCAACAGTCTCCATTGCGGTCCACACACTTCTTCCCTGGATGTGGCAGGGTTTGGATCCCATTGTTGAAGAAGCTTTCATCCTGTTAGTCAAAAAAGTCATCAACGGCAGATATGTTATTATCATTGCTGCAATACTGGTTCTCACCTAAGTGTTTTTTCCTGTTGAGAGATGGATGATAGATGGGGCCAAATCAGGAGAATAGAGAGGGTGATCAAGCAGTTCAAAGCCACAGTCACGCACAGCAGCCATTGAAACCAATGACGTGTGCTGGAGCAGTGTCCTAATGAAACAGGACCCACTTTTTATCAGTTTTCTTGGGCATTTGGTCTTGATAGTCTTTTGTCATTGCCTCAGCATGTTGGCATAGTACTCTCCATTGGTGGTGTGGCCCTTTTGCACCCTAAAAACTGAGGCTATCACCTTCTCTTCTGATGAAAGAACCTTAGCTTTTTTTGGAGCAGGTGAGGAGAGTGGTGTTTCCACTGCATGGATTGTCTCTGGTTCAAAGTGATGAACCCAACATTCATCCTTGGTTAGGAAACGTTCAAGGAAACCAGCTGGATCTGCCTCAAACAATGTGATCAGTCTGGTGTGCTTTTGATCAGGTGATGTGGCAACCACTAAGCAGAAAGCTTTATCATGCCATGTTCATTGTGCAGAATGTTCTCAACCCTCTGACTGGATATACTAATAACATTGGCCATTTGATTTATAGTCAATCGCCTGTCATCCATCACTGTGAATTGAACATGATCAATATTTTCCTTGGTCATGGCAATTGCAGGACGTTCAGACCTTGGGTCATCTTCAAGGCTCTCCCTTCCCCTCCTAAATTCAGCTGCCCATTTTTGCACTTTGATAAAGTTGGAGCATCATCTCCTAATGTAGCAACCATGTCAGCATGAATGTCATTGGGAGTTACTCATTTTTTGCAGGTACCATGATGCCAAACTTTGTCCTTTTTCAAGAGAAGATGCAACTAGTTATTTTTGAAATCTTGTTTAAACATTCAGATGTCAGTTTACCTGGAAAGAAATAATGCTTTTATTAATAAGATGAGTTGAAATTAATGCATGCAAGATTTTACAGCTCTAGTATCACTCTTTCATAATCAGCCTAATTTTTCAGCCCACCTTCGTATTTATTTCCATGATCTCCATATCTCCAACAGACTTACTTTTTGAATCCAGTGAGGCTCAGTTTTACCATGACTATCAACAAGATAGAATCTCTCATTATTCTCATTGCCAGTTTTATGCTAGTTATTCCAGTGCTCCAACCAACCTTTTCATACTGGCAACCAATGAGAGAAGTACTTATATTGTAAGCCCAGAAGCTGTTTTAATCTCAGGAATTACATCATTTCTTTTTTGTGCACCAGAGTATGTTTTCATTAAAAAATATTTTTTCATGTGTATCTCATGTAAATAACATTTGTTGTAAGAAAAATATATTGTAGTTTCTCCTGTATTGATTTAGTTGAAGCTATTTTCCATGAGGATATATTTGCTATTTATCCCTCTTTTTCTCTTGGAAACTATAGCAATGACTAAATGTGCTTGGAATCATGGTGGATTAATGGATTGGATTGAGGAATCAGAAAGCTGAGTTTAATTCCAGTTTAGTTTGTTACATTCACTTATGTGCAAATAACTCTTCTTCCTACTGTTATGGGTAAATAGCAGGACAGTTTGGGTCCTGTAGTCTTCGGTGGCAATCAATATAAGAGTAGGACAAATTTGAATTCCAAACCTTGAACTGTGGGTAAAATAGCCTCACCAGTCTGCAAATGGCCAAGCTACACCCTTGAAGACCTGGTCAGTCAGGGAGGGGTTTCTCCAACAGGAGTGAGAAGTCCCTGGATTTGGATCTGGTGTGCTTTTGGCAGCCCTAAGAATAAGAAAAATATACATGGCCCATTAATTTGATTTAAAATTCAAATCTACTTGAAATTTTATTTTTTAAAACTTTTTATTTTCCTGCAAAATTGCTTATCAGCGAATTTAAGATTTACCAAATTTTTGGAATGGGGATAGACTGACATATGTGCCACAAAACAGATTTTGTTTCCTAATTTTAGCAATTCCATACACAATCTTTTTCATTGATTTACTTTTTACAGCTTATCAACACTTTGTGGGTTATTTAAAGCCAAAACATATTTTGAATTGTAAGAATTCCAAAATTTAGGATTCCAAAATGTTTCTTTAATGAATCCTAATCCAAAAATAAATAATGTGTATCTAAACAATCCTAATTCAGTACAGGTTGGTTCCTGAAGGTAGTTATTAACCGCCAGTCCTCTGAAGCCCTACTGGTCACTCCTTGGACCAATCCCCCTTTTTAGATTTATATAAATGATGATCTGTCTAAGAATATACTCATATTGTCTGTAAGCATCTAAGCTGATGATATGACTATATATGGACGCACCTCTAAAACTCTTGATAATCAAAATTGGCAACTTATCTCTTTTCCAATCCAGCTGATTACCTTCAATACCTTGTAAACCAAATCAGTTACATTCCATCATTGCCAACCAGACTCCAAACTACCACCAATCAAGATGAATGTATGTCCCCTCAGGTAGGCACCATGCTATTGGGCCTCAAACTCCTGACCTGACTTTAAGTGGAACATGTACATACAATATATTGCCTAGGATGCAGGTGAAATGGTCAGTTACTCCTGTAGTGCTCCAGTAAGTAGCTGACTCCTCCTACTATCCTCTATCTTTACAGGAGCCAGATCAGGCCAAAAATGGAGTACTGTTGTCATATTTGGGTGGGAGCTGCCCAGAGCTCACTCTCCAGCCTTGATAGTCAAAAAGCGTCTCAGAGTCCTTGTGGGTGACAAATTATTTTCCACTTTTCAATCTCTCCCCCACAAGCAGTATGTGGCAAGCCTCTTGCTTTTCTAGCATTACTTCCATGGAAAGTGCTTGGATGAACTACATTCCATGGTCTTGCCAGTTCAAACCTTCAAGGCAAGGACACACCATACCACTTACAATGTAGCAAACCACCCAAATTTCCTCTGTATTCCACCAGTGAAAAGTAAGTTCCACTCAAATAGGGTCTTCCTGCAAACCACTGCTCTGTGGAACTGACTACCAAGAGGAGGATTCCCTGATCACTACAATCTTAACCTGTTCAAGTCTAGGGTTAACCAATATCTTCCCCCTCCTATCTGCACAAATTGCCTCCTGGTGTAACCCTCTACCTCAAGTGTCCCCTGGGCTGTGTAAAGAGTAAATCTTACTGTAAAAAAAAAAAAAAAAAAAAATTAAAAAATGAATAAATACTGTATTTATGAGGTAACCTTTATTTAGGTACTGCTACTTTTTTTGCTAAATGACGAAAAAGGCACAAAACTTGATGAAAACAAAGTTTTATTGTCAAAATGTTTTATATTATTAAGAGGAAAGACCAAAGATTTTACACTTAAAAAGGATAAATTTGTGAATTTGCAGTCCAGCCATCACTAGACAGATAAATGAGTAGCAGTCTTGATTTCCTCCTTTATCTTATTTCTAACCCCTCTCTCTCTCTCTCTCTCTATATATATATATATATATATATATATATATATACAATATTTTATATACTTTTGAGAGGGAGTTTGATAATTCAGACTTGTATGGATGGTTTAATAGTCTTTTAAAACCAACAAAAAATGGTTGCAGGTCAATTGCTATCATTTCCCCAATACACTTATGAAATTTTTGGGCTTTACTGTCATTTACATCCTAAATTTTACTTTGGTCAATAACTTCATGTAAAGTTTGTTGCTTGAAAAATTCGCTGACAAATGTTTTCTGTTTAATTATAGTTGTACAGTCAATAGGGAGTGTTCTTTTTATCTCTTTCCTTTTCTCTTCCTTTTCCTTTTGGAGTTCTGTGCCATGTTTTATATTTAAGTGTTTCAACATATTTGTTTTGGTGAAGAAGGCAGATTTTGCTCCACTAGCTATTTGTATATTACACAGTTGACATATTGCTTTACTTTGGTTATCATCAAAAATCTTAAAAACTTCCAGACTACAATTTTCTGCTTGGCATTGTATCCATTTGTCATAATTGGTGTGTGAAAATAATAAACATTAGTCAAAATTAAAATTTTTCACTGTTAGATAAAAATGTTTCTGGTTTTCTAATGTGTATTTAAGACAAGTAAAGATTCAACTGATGGTTTGCTATTAATTGTAAAATAAAAAAAGGGTATATTTTTTGTCCACCTTATATATTTTAAGTTTTATCATGAAAAGGTGCTCTCTAAATATTATGCAATCTTAAAATTTTATATGTGGTATTTTTCAATGAATGGAACAAATTTAGGGGTGACAATTCAATGCACTGCAAAGACAAGAGACGCTGTGTGTGTGTGTATATATATATATATATATATATATAATATTGCAACAATAATAGTCTAAGCAGAAAGGCATCATCCTATGTATTGTGGTTTAACTCATACATATGTTTTGATAAAGTACAAGTAATCCTGCAGGACAGTGAATAAAATAAATGCAAATTTTAAATTTGCTTACAGATGTTTAATAAGAATTAAATATGAATTATCACAGCAACTTAATAAATAAATAATAAAGGGTCTTCAGTCTTAATTAAAAAAAATTTAATCACTAATAAATTTTACTAAAATAAATTTCTCACAAATAAAAAATTTAATAATTTCTAAAAAGAATAAAAAATTGTTTTATTTTTGTTAAAAGAAAGAGTAAAAGTGCAACAACACAGTAAAAACATATCCCTTGATTTATCTTTTTTTAAAGAGATATAAACAATTTTAGCAAATTTTAAAATAAGTTTAATAAAACTTTAGTGAGTTGAAAGCTAAATAATGCTGATATCCAACTTTGATCATTTTTATAAGGTATGAGACTCAATTGTTACAAAACATTAAAATAAAAATATGATTAAAAATGATCAAAACCTTCATAAGGATGAGAACAACTGTAAATGTAGGCAGCTCCATATAAATGCTAAAAAAATCAGCATAACATTATGAAAATATGCACCAGACATGATGAAAACATAGTTTTATTGTCAAAATTGTTATGTTATTATTAAGAGGAAAGATCACAGTATTTTTTGATTATTTAATTAATTTTTTTACTCCTTTTTAGAACACTATTTACATTATTTGGACTATTGTCCTCATCTTTGTTGCCATATTTATCACAACGTTTCAGCCGTTGTACGCTCTGTCCTTCTTCATGTGGTTGGAATGTCAAACTGAACCCTTTATTTTGCTCACTGGGGTAGACTGCTCTAGTTCCACGTGCCATGTCTTAATGAACTAGAACAGTCTACCCCAGTGAGTGAAATAAAGGGTTCAGTTTGACATTTCAACCACCTGAAGAAGGCTGGAGTGTACAACGGCTGAAACGTTTGATAACTATGGCAACAAAGATGAGGACAAAAATCTGAATAATGTAAATAGTGTACATAATGCCTCATCTCAGAAATATAGACAGATACCTTTTTAGAACATTCGAAATTTTGATTAAAATCTTGTTTTACTTGCATCAGCAGTTGTACTAACTTATAGCGTAGCAAATTTTACCCTTTTTTTTTTTTTTTTTTTTTTATTAGCCCCTTAATTTTATGAGAACTTGAATGTAATATTTTTTTAGTGACTATATTAGTTAAAAGCAGAATTTTTTGAAGAACTTAAATCCCCAAATTTTTTTTGCAAAATTAGACCTGGTTTTAACTGAAAATCTGTTCTGAATCGGGGGGAAAAAAAAAAAACAATGCAATAAATCTAAGACATTGTTTAATCATAGAAGCTTTTAATTGCTTTTATGAATAATATATATTAAATACAATACTGTCTCTAGAAAAAAAATTATTTGATAAAAAAAATTAATTTCCTGTCCTGCCTTGGATATATTCATAGAAAGATTATTTGATATAGATATTATTTTGTGAGGCATTATTTGATCATTTTATTGTGTGTATGTGCATGTCGCAAAAAATCTACTTTATAAAGGAGCATCATCCATTTGTTGACTCCTATACTTGTGAAAAATAAAACAACTTGTTAGCATAAAAATGAAAGTACCTCCTGGCCTAATGATTATATACAAGGATTGACTCAACCTGCAACTTACAATTATCTAAGCAGGATGCTCCATTATACAACATAATTTGTCAATTAGATATTCATTACTAGTTATTTTGCCACATTTTTCTGACAACAGTTATTTTCTGTCATAAGATTAATATTGAAGTTTTCAAACTATTTTACTTGGAATTGTTCAGCACGTACTTGAAAGGACAGCTTGTGTGGATTACTGTGAATTCGTCTTTCAGTAGTCAGTTTTGTACTTGAAAAAAATCTTAGTAACGTGTTGGCAATCACTAAGCTGACATTGTGACTATGATGCCAGATATGAAAGGTTAGGTTCAATACTCCTCCTCACATTCAATGATTTTGTTCTGCCTGTACACTCTCTCAACACTTTATCTTACTCTCTAAACTTTATCCAGTTTTCAAGTTTGTCTTATAAATAATATACACTTTTTTTAACACCAAACACAATGTCTTTCATGTATTTAAGACATGGCTGAGACAAAATGAGAGCATATTTTTTTTATTGTAAATATGGAGTTGATATATCTCATGCTGTTGCTAAAACCATTAAAATAGTAGCAGAAGCTCAAAGCCACAACATTGGAAAATTGAAATATTTGGCTTACAATGAATGTGTTTGATTTTTAAACTTAAAGCTGAAAATATGTTGTAAATGCATGAAGTACAGAAAAATTTAGGGCAAGTTCTTTTCTATTTTATGGCTACTTTGAATCTTTTCTCAATGTTTTTATTTAAATTCACTAATTCTATGAAAACAGTAGTGAAATTATTTGAGAAACTTCTCAATTTATTTGAATTGTGCATTGATAAGTTTTGAAATGATACACTACTATTACAAGAATTGCTTGAACAACTTGTGGAATAAAAATAAATTAACGTGAACCCAATTTGAATACGCCAACTTTTTCAGGTTTTAATGTGACAATTGTTTTTATTGCTTGCTTTTTTTCTCACTTGACAGGGTCATTGGATACAGCGACCAGTTCTGAAATATTCAGTGACATGCCTGATTTGAAGCAAGAAGGCATTACAAACAAATCAGGTAACATAATTATTTCATTCAATAGAAATCGCTCCCTGTGAAATTACTTTTTAGTTCTGTGATGCTTTTTGCAATTTTGTAGATAGTAATACAGGCCACATGAAAAATATTTAATTTTTCAATAATGACCTATGTGATCTAAGTAGATATTGAATATATATACCATTGTCTGATGACCTAATTTATATTGAACAAGTTATCTTTTGTGATTATCAGCTACAATTTATCTCTTAAATCATATTTTCCATTATGAACAAGCTTAAATTCTAATACAGTTTTTGTTGTAGTGATAAAAATGAAAAGTCAATGAGAATGATGAAAGTTTTTTTCTGCTATTAAACTAAATCAAATCGTGGTTCAAAATTTGTGCTTCCCGTCATCAAATGTTAATCACTAAAGACCAATCTATATACAGATTCAGCATACTTTGACATTTTAAAAAAATCTCTGTTCATCTAAATATATTAGGCCAACTGCTGAAATTCTCATACGAAAGATTTTAGAACCTTCATGTGGAGAGGCATTTGTAAAAGCCAGTTAACTTTCCTCTGTTTCAGCTTTTCTTTGGACTGTGTGTTTGATCACCTCTACTTAGTTATATGTTTAATTGTAGAGCCTTACTGACACATGAACAAAACATATTTGAAAACATTAGTTCATTTCCAGAGTACATCCTTCTTTGTGAGCTGTTGAAGGGGTTTACTGATGGCAGCATAGTGCGGGCTGAATCAAGAGATGTACTAGGAATGAGTGAACTTCTCCAGCAGGGATATCTGTTTATAATTGATAATTGCCTGGATTTTTTCTCTAAGAGTATGGCCAAAGAAAGTGAGCTCTCTGACTGAAAACTGGCATTTATCTTTATTCACTTTTGCTTCAGATTCTTGCAGACATTTCAATGTTGCTCTTGTCATGTGTCTCTTGGCCTTTCCTGTGAACTATAATATCATCATAGAGGTCATTTACTCTCAAAACGTCTCTCAGTAGATTTGAGTGTTTTCTGGAAGATTTCAGATGCTGCTTTGGCACCAAATTGTAACCTGTTATAATGATATAACCCTGCATGTGTGGTGAACATGATTATATACCAATATTTCCTCTAGCATGAGTTGATATGCACTTGATGTTGAATTTGCTAAAAACAATGAATGAGTTGTAGTCAGCAATAAGGTCATCAATGGTCAGCATCAAGTGTTTCATACTCTGAATGACTTTGTTTGTGTGGCAGACGTGATGAGACAGAACCTAGGATGAGCACAACTGGTTGTGACTTGCCTTGTCCCTGCCAAAAAAGAGCCCGTATTTGCTTAGCATGTAAAGCTACTGCAGTTGAATTGAGGGAGAAAAAAGCACTTACCACTCTGCCGTAATCCGTTCTTGGCTAGATAACGTAAAAGAATCGGGGGACTTGCATTGCATTTTTATGCAATAAAAATGCAATGCATTATGGCACAGGGACGCATGGAATTATGGGATCGCATGAAGACGCAATGGATTATGGGTATATGGACAAATATAAAAGCAACTAATTGTTCTCAGTGGGGGAGTTCTTTGAGTGACGTTCACGGTTGGCGGCTAGAAAAGTCTGTTAGTGCGACTTTGAGACAGAACTCGAGAAGGAACAACTTGAGGTTGGAATACCAGCTGGGAGAGCTTGAATTTACTCGCTGGTTGCTGTTTTCTTTTTATTCGCCACAGTTTGCTTTTCTCATATCTATGCAAATTCTTATACTATCAGTCATCTTGAGAACTACTCCAACTAGACTCACACAGGCTGTGGTCCCTGTTACTTTGATATCCAACTGTTTCATTTGCTTCATCTCTGCCTCCATATTTTTCTGCATGTGAAAGTGTACTGGTTGGTAGAGCTGTATTACTGGTGGAACTGAGGAGTCAATATGGAGCCTGACTATGGAAATCTTCCCTATTTTGCCATTGAATAGTGAAGGGAATTGGTCTGTTATATTGCTATAAAAGGAGGATAAGAACATAAAATGGATGAGGGTTAGGGCCTGAGTGGTGTTGGTATTTAATGAGTTTTATGCAAACAAAGAGGAAACATACTTAACATCAGGAAGAGGCAGCTGAAATTTCTGGGACATGTAATGAGAAAGGAGTGTTTGGAAAATCTGATACTCACAGAGCAGATAGAGCAGAAGAGGGACAAGAGGAAAACAATGCATGACATAATGGGCTTAAGTGGGTGGCATAACAGGGTCTAAAAAAAATAAAACTTATTGAGACCTACAAGAGAAGTAGAGAACCATGATCCCCTATGTCCTGAAGGACATGGCATATAAAAGAAGAATCATCTGGTCTGGGAACTGGAGATAATGACGTCCGTAATGTATACTGTGGATTTTATTCTGTCTTTAAACCAAATCTCTGCTTTGAAGAATCCAATAAATGAGGAGTGTATCTGTGGATCCATATGAATAATTCCTGACTAAATTTTTTTGAAGTTCTAGTTTGCTACACATGTTGTTGTAGTCTATATTGTCTAGAATATTTACTCTGGCACTAGTATCAACTAGAAATTTAGTAACTATGACATTTATATGGACTGTTACTAGTGGGGATTTTGTTGTGGGTACTGGTGAGTCTTGGTTTGAAAAGACAGACTCATTATTTGAAAAAGAAAAGACACTTTTACTTCTTCACCCCTCCCTCTCAGAGAAATACTTGAGAAAATTTCTTACCTTCTTATTTTACTTAGCTGACCAAGAAACCCTCATAAAGTTATTCAGTTTGTGGAACTTGTCGCATATCTTCTCTTTAGGAAGACAAGAAGTATGGGTCTGTGAACCTCTACAATAGTGGCAGGCTGTATTATTGTGAAACTTGTTAGGGTCATGCTGAAGTGAGTAGCAATATTGGGGTTGGTCACTATTTTCCACTTCATTGACTGCTGCTATCTTAGGTAGCCATGGTGCTTGCCAAATTTTTCCTTTCTATTTCTGTGATTCTGATGTCTATTATGATTTTTAGAGTGCAATTTTCTTGTAGAGCTTTCCTTCTATCCTGGTAGAAGGACAGAATCATTTGTGTGAATATTTTGCTTTCAGCATTGTGAAATTTGCAATTTGCAGCCAGTGTTCATAGTCTGGTGTAGAATGCATCTATACTTATTTCTGGGCTTTGCAAGGTCTGTCATAATTTGAACATTTTTTTGGAGTGAGATATTCTTTGAGGGAGTGTTTTATTCTCATATTCTGTCAGTACATTTTGCACCATTTCCCTTTTCCTCACCTGTAAAGCTGTGGTAAATATTATGAGCTTTGTCCCCAGCATAATGAAGGAGATTGCTTTATTCTTTTTGTCCTTTCCTATCTGTTATGCACATAGCAGGTTCTCAATTTTATCCACACATTTGCGCCAAGACTTACAATCATATGACACTGAAACACTGGTTCTTGTACGATCACCTAAGTTAAGTAATGTTGCATCTGTTTAGTATCTGGATGGGTGACTGCTTGAGAATAATAGGTGCTGTAATGGATAATGGCTTAAAATTGGAAATTAAAGAGCTGAGTTCCAATTCCAGGTTGGTTCATTATATTAATTTACATGCAAATACCCTTAGGAAAGGTATGAATCCACCTCTTCTCTCCTGCAAGTTATGAGTTAATTAGTAGAACTTTTATCAGTAAAAATCATTATCTCCAAAAAATTATTACAATGTAAAAATATTTTATGGTTTTAAATAATCTGCAAGAGGTTGATAAACTATAAAAAGTAAATCCATCAATAAAACATTTGTGTCATATTGTACCTGTGGTGCATTTATTGCTATACACTGTGAATGGTGAAAATATGGAGAGGTTTGCCATCCTGTAAAATTCTTTTTCTTTCTTAATAATAAAAACTAGTCCTTGTTGTTGCCAAAGTGTGAGGGATATCCAAAGAAAACAGAGACCATTTAAATGCACATGAGAGGCTGCCTGAAATCTGTTGATTCATACATCCCATGTCTGCATTATCTTTATTAGAAAGGACCCTCCAGTTTTGGTAGTCAGTACCTAATTAGTATTGATTTTCATCTGAAAATAGGTTTTATTTTATTTTATTTTTCCTGATATGGATGCTTCTTGGCCAGTAATGTTTCTATCCAATAAAATATTCAAATCTACCTGATTAATTGTTTACATATAAGCAGGTAGGCAGCAAAAAGTTTTTATAGTTTTTTTTTTTGTCAAACTAAGCTTAGTTTGACACAAGGCTACAAATATAGGCTTAAGCTCATTACTCAGTAGTTATGTTCAACCAGCCCAGCTTGCTAAACATTACTCCATGCTGAGGCACCCAGTTCTTTGTCTTGGTATCATTGTTAGTTCTGATAATTTTAGTAATGGGTGCTTTGATTACAACCTGAAGAAATTAGCAGATGGCTAGCTTGCACAAGATATAATTTAGTGTTACCTTTTGGTACATTCTTAATTTACTTGCAGGTTTGGCTTAGTAACTGAGATTTGGACAGAAAGTCTAAAAGCTTTAGGTTTTATTATTAGATTGGGTTCAGCATTCTATTGTAGATTTTACAAGTATTGTATCCAAATAAACCATTGGAAATCACTTTTGTCAATGAACAGATCTTTGTAAAACTTAAGGTTAACAATCAAATGAATCAAATAATTGATGCTTGTGTTTGGCTGGCTTATTTTTTTTTCTTAAATCCACTTGTGATCTTTTCTCTCCATTAATATAGAAAAGAATTAGATATTGGACATACTTCTTTTATCAATGGGTTACCTATAATTTATCTTCAATTTTGCTACTGTTTTCATTTTAAGAAAAAAATTTAGCACACTTCATCTTTTCATAGATTATGACTTCCCATTTTCTCTGCACTGATTTTGAATTTGGTCTCTCAGTGCATCACTAATTGTCGACATAAAAGACTCATAATGTTTTTAAATGTTTCTTTCCAAAAGTAATTTTAATTGATATGGTTTTCTTATTTCAGTTACTAGCTCTGATGTGGGATACACCTCATCAATTGGACAACTTCATCGCAGCCCCAAAGATATTGAAAGTATGATGTTTCTTAATTTTACCATACTTGATCCTATGAATATTATTAGCTATTTTAACTTTAGTTAGAAATTATAATGATCCAATTTTTGTTTAGAGAATACTGCATGAAATATAAAAAAGTTTCTAGTCCAGTTTGCACTTAATGATAATAGTATGTGGGAGATTGTCTGCATTTGTATTCACTCTGATAGGTCTGGTTTCTGTATGTCCTCATTTGTTACAAAAGCTAAAAAAGAAAATTTATATTATCAGTGAAAGAGGAGAGGAAAATTACTAATTGCTGCATGAAATAATAATTCTTTTTGGTAAACAAAACAAAAATCATATGAGAGTTGGACAGAGGTATTAAAAATGGATGGTAACAGTCTGTTTCATGCTTAAATGCAATCATCAGGCCACGTGGGTGGAAGAGTAGCTTGATTATATTTGTCATGAATAATTATGGGTAGAAAGGCTGTTTATTTCTGGTTTATTATGTTATTCTAAAGGCCATTGAATAGGCAGGAAAATCATTATTTCCTGTTTGTTTTTTTCGTGACAGCTATTATGTATTGTTTGTTATTATCTAGGCCATTAAAGGATGGGTCATAAGTTTAAGGTTTATAGTTAAATCATTTTGTGATTGGTCATAAGTTTAGGATTTACATTTAAGTCATTTTTATTTGTTATTAATTACTTTGGTATTTTATTTATTATAAATTTACTTAGTTACAAAATCTTTGTTATATGTTCATTCATACTATTTGTATTTTATTATTTTGTTTATGTATTTATTTTTTTAGCTTTAAATATGCTAATAAATAATAAATAGACACATTTGTTTTTTATATATATATTTTTTATATATCAGTAAAATTTAACCGTTAATTTTTCAATTGTTCACCTTATGTTTTTTTGGAAAGAATAATATAAATAGAAAGTGTGATTTGATATAGTCATCTTTGGTGGCGTTTAAGAGAGTTAATTTAAAATTTAATGAATATTTATACAAAATGAAAGAATTAACATTTTTTTACCATTTTTAATCAATCTTTTTTCAATTTTCATATAGGAAATTGAAAAAAAAGATTTAATCCCTACATAATTTCACAGGTAAAGATGAGTTGGAAAATATAAGAGAACAATAAAAATGGTTTTACAAATCAATTGTTTTAATATTCACCATGCTTTTTTCCTTTGCTGCCTTCTCTTCATTCCCTTAGAGAATGAATATTTCGTGCATATTTGCATAATTGCTATTTAATCAATCAAATATTTGTACCAGAAATGTTTTTTCTGCTTTATTTTGTAGGCCCAGCTGCTTTTTATGGCTGTTGTGGCTTCTACAACCTGGGCAACACTTGTTTCATGAATGCTGGACTTCAGTGCTTGTTTTGCAATACTCATTTGGTGAAATTTTTTCATGAGCAATTTGTTTTAAATGATGTATCCAAAGACACACTAACAGGCAAGTTTTGCCAACTTGTAAGGAAAGTGTGGAGTGGTAATTTCTCTCTTATTCATCCACTTGATTTTAAAGGAACACTGGGAATGTATTACCCACAGTTTCATGATTTCAGACAGGTGAGTTCTAAATTGCCTAATGTTGTTTTTTGATAATATTACTTCTTTAGATTTGAAGATTTTAGTTAATTTGTTTTTGTTTGTTGTAGTTCAATGAATATCTTCTATATAGATGGAAACATGCAATAAATCAAAATAGATTAGGCTGAAATCTTGGCACAAGAAACTATTTATAGCAGCTTGGGGCATGAATGCTTATAGACACACACACCCACACACACCCACACACACGTGTGTGTGTGTACATATATATATATATAAATGAAAATTGAAGTCAATAATTAGAGGCGACAGGCTGTTCCATGCTAGACGCAATTGTCAGGCCTGATGATTGCATCTAGCATGAAACAGCCTGTCGCCTCTAATTGTTGACTTCAGTGTTCGCTTTTATATTTACGCATACTCTATCTCTGATATTGAGCACTTTATTTCATAAATATAGTACACCTTAAGAGTATATTTCTTCATATATATATATATATATAAAATTTAACATATTTTCAGGTGAAAAATGGGGGAAGTATATTTATTATTGGGGTGGGGGGTAGTACATTTGTAAATGTAAATAATGTGGACATAGGAATCAACACTGCATTCATGCCTTAAATGATCATCAGATTGTGTGTGAAACTCAGTCACCATATAGTGTTGATTTCTATGTTCACATTTGCCATATAAATTATTCATTGGAGGTACATCACTGAAACTTTGAAAGTTTATTTTGCAAGGAGGAATTAAAAAAGAGCTCTTTTCTCTGTAAAATGAATACGTTTTGTCATTGACGTATCTTTTTGGGGAAATTTTTTTGAAATTATGCAATTTTTAACTTGTCAAAAAAGGACAGTAATGACTACAAAACTTAGAAATTTGTTTCATGAAATTAATCATGGATCAATCCTTATGCTTATTGTAAAGCTTTAAACTCATTTATCATCAAACTAAAAAAATGAAATGAATAAAAATAAATTTATTGGAACTGATGAAAAAGACTTTCTGGACAGTTGGAATGATCTTCCTGCACTTCCTCTTCTGATGGGAATTGGCAGTCTGATTTTCTTTGTAAGGTTCTGCTACAGCCAATATTCCTGGAATACTCCATATTTTATCATCACTTGAAAGTGGTATTATATCAGAGTCCCATCTAAAGACAAATGTTGACATCACTTGTACAATCACATACAACAAAGGCCGTCAAAAATAATAATTTCTGCCTTTAGTTGGAAGTAAAATTTTCATTACAGCACTAGATAAAGATGTAATATAGGTGACTTGGTCAATGTAAAAGTTGAATTAATAGTATACCGCAAGCTATTGACCTTGGCATTCATAACTGAAGGTGGTTTAAAGTGATTCATCTTTATCACAAATACTAGAGTTGTTTGAATACTCAGATCCATTGAGTAACTTTTCTTTGTTCAGAAGTGGAGAGTTCCATTAAATGTTGTGTCACTGTAATGTCTATTCCCTTCATACATTTTTTAACTTTATCAGCATACGTTGCGAGGAATTTGGGATCTTCTTCAACCTGTTTCTTGCACTTAGAAGAAAATTACTTTTCGCGGAGTGAAGTTCAACATCCACTGAACAGAAGATTAAATGTAAATTTTATTAAATGCTCAAGTATGTGTCTCTGGTACGGAAAGCACTATTAAATGAAAAAGAAAAAGAAAAATGAACAGATACCTGCTTAAAATTAATGTCATGCTTGTCTTCCATGGCTGCTTAAGGAATAAAAGATTACAAAAAAACAAGGCATTATCTGTCTATATTTCTGAGATGAGGTATTATGTACACTATTTGGACTATTGTCCTCATATTACAATGTTTTGGCTGTTGTACTTCTTCAGGTGGTTGGAATGTTGAACTGATCCCTTTATTTCACTCACTGGGGTAGATTGTTTTAGTTCCATGTGCCATGTTTAATGGATGTCAGTTATCAGTTATCTCTTGTTAATTCCCCTCTCCAAGTTCTCCACTGCCTTAACCGGGTATTAAACTCACACTCTTTGGGTCCTGTCACTGGATCTAACCAACACCTTTATCCACTGTGCCATGTGTCCTTGAGGACATCTGGGTATGAATTTCTGAGTATTATAAACCTAATGTCTTCAGCACCATTTTTTCCAGTGCTCATATTGCAATTTTTGCTGTTATCATTGCATATTTTTACCAGAGCTCATATTGCAATTTTTGTTGTTATTATTGCTTTTCTCTGACACTCCTTATTACTGGTTCCCATATTGTATTCATTTCTATGCTTGGTTGGTTCAGGAGATTTTTGTGGCCTAGCATATGTGCTGATTCCTTAACTTTACAAATTTTCCAATGGTGTTCTTTGTCTATGATCTCAACCTGATCCCACAGAGGGTGGTGATCTCCCTTTTCTCTCCATATGTGGTCAGCCACGCCTGATTTTTCCACTTCAGGTGGAACTAGAAAAGTCTACCCCAGTGAGAAAAATAAAGGCTTCAGTTCGACATTCCAACCACCTGAAGAAGGCTGGAGTATACAACGGCTGAAACGTTGTAATAAATATGGCGACAAAGATGAGGATAATAATCTGAATAATGTAAATAGTGAAAACAAGGCATGTTTGCAAAAGTTGAAGAACTATAAAATGTATCCATTTCTTTTCTTTTTTCTTCTTTTACAAAAATAAAAACAATTTCATTTTAACTTCTGGAATAGGACTTAATCCCTAGAATTAATAAACAAAACATTAAAAAAAAAAGGAAACTGATTACATTTAAAAAAAAAACAAAACAAAAGCTAATTACATTTCAATTTTTTATGGACCCATGCACTACAGCTAAATTAAAACATATCCAGTTCATTTTTTATTTTATTTTATTTTTATAGGAAAATATAATTGTTTTATAAAAAAAATGTAAATGAATTTACAATTTAATTTCCAAATCCTGAGAATCAGAAAAAATATTGCCAACCATAAATGTAAATGAAATGAATGACCATTAAAAGGAAAACTGGGTACTTTAAATTATTTTAATTTTTATGGACAAATGTGAGAATGTGAAATTTAAAGAACTAAAATTTTATATAGTCTATTTATGTTTTTTTTTATTTTATAGTATGAATTCTGTTTAATGGTTTTTTAAGAAAATACATAAAAAACAACAGCCAAAGCGAAAATGTTTTGAATGTGACAGTTTGGACAAAATACAATGAATGAGTACTTTATACAGTTTTAAAATGTATCATTTAAGAAAAGATGAGAAAAAGATTTTAACTGTGTAATATCAAGTGATGAAACAAGCTTTATTGAAAATGTATGATTTCCCTCTTCTGTAATTTCCTAACCTGCCCAGATACTAGCAAGAAAAAAACTGTTTCTCTAATAATCAACTGATTAAATCTCAGTAAATGCTTATGAAGATATCTCTCTTTTTATCTAATACTGTTTGATAAAGAAGCTTTTCATTTCTGTTGTATTTCTCCATTCTGAATGCCTGTAAGAATGTTAAATTAGGAAAAAATACATTTGTTTGCTGTATAAGTATAATAAATATGGTAAGATGTTTATAATGATTGGCAATATGGAAAATGGAATCTGAAAACTAAGTTCAAATCCCAGCCAAGGCTGTTTTTATTAATTTAGTACTTTTGCCTTTGGGAGATAGTATGAATCCACTTCTCCCATGGCTCTATCACCTCTTGAAACTAATTTGTTTCTGGTATGTCATAATGGTTGAAGAATGAGCCATTGAGCAAATAACTCTTTCATAACTACTGCTCAGACAGTAATTACTGTAAAACATTGTTATACCATTGTCAGACTTCATCACATTAGCATAAGAAATTGCTGTTTTAATTTTTTTTAGGACTTTTATATACATTATTTACATGTGGACTATTGTCCTCATTATCTCTGCCTGGAAGGCATAATAGTTGAAGTGTTGTGTAAACAACAACAAATATAAGGACAATATTCTGCATGTAAATAATGATAATTCCTTATCCCATAAATTCAGACAGGGACTTATTTTGTTTAAATGGCAGCACCTCCTTTTATAATTCATGATTTTGTGCATTCAAATAAAATTACAAAACATATGGTATTCAGTATTTGAGAAATTAGAATTTAAAAATAAATATTTCAGTGTTAACCTTCATCATCCTTAGAATATTGGTTAGTACTTAACCCTTTGAGACCTGTATTTCTGAACAATTTTAACCTTTCTGCCTGAGCTCCTAAGTCAAAATTTGCAAATAATTAGTATGAAATGTTTCATGGTAGATATAAAAATAGTTACAAGTGTTTACCCACTGTTCAACTGGTGGCTTGGCATTGTCATTTTTATCTACCACTGGTAAAGCAGTAGTCAGGGCTCAAAGGCTTAAAAAAATAAAAATTATTTAAAAAAAAAAAAAATTCTTTTGGATAATGCATTTAACAAACAAGATCATTTTTTTTTTTTTTTTGCTTTTATTGATTATTCATGTCTTATTCTGACCAACAGTAAGTATATATACTGAGCCACAATTTTTTTCTTTTCCATTTTGCAGCATGACTGCCAAGAATTTGTGACATTGCTACTGGATAGCCTACATGAATCTTTGAACAATGCTCGCAACAATAACAACAACAATAATAATAATGCCTTTCAAAAACCAATGCAAGCAACAAGTAGCAAAAGCGAGCAAATGGCACACGCTCTTACTCACTCTTCATCTTTGGACACAAGCAGTAGCAGTTCTATGAATGTTATCACTCAAAAGTCCCACTCTTCTGTGTCTTCATCCTTATCTTATTCTACCAAACATACCATATCTGCAGCAGCTACAACAGAAGCTGTATATGAAGAGTTGGTTGCAGCAGCTGCAACAACGACAACAGCAACCAACTCTACTTCTTTAGCCACTCACAATCAGAACAACAGCCACATGTTCAGCTTGCAACATGAGCAACAAGCTGTCAACACTGCCATGGGAATTTCCTCTTCTTCCAAACTGAAACTTGCCTCTTATAACACTGCATCAGCTATCTCTAACAAAGTGGAAATCCAGCCTAAGTCTTCAGCACTGATCTCAAACATTTCTAACTGTGATTTACAACAGCAGCAACCAAGTAATTCTAAACTTATAACTACTACCCCAGGGGTGAGGGTGGCACTTCAGGGGTGCAGTAGTGGGCACAAAAAACCATTTCACTATACACCCAATCAGTTATATACTCAGGGCTATAACCACCAAGTCACAATGGTTAACACTGCTGGCACTGTTACAAACACTACTACAACTAATACTTGCTGTTCTGCAGCAGAAAACATTAGCAGCAGTTTAACAGATGTAGCTGCAGGTTTAACAACTAGTAGTGCCCTTGAGGAGTGTACAGAGAAGGTGGGAGGAGTAAAAGGCCAGAGACAATTTTCATCATTGGTAAGAAATTTTGACAGCTCACCTCAAAAAGAAATGAACCAGAGTGTAATCCCAGACAATTATATCAGTTCTTCTACCCAGTTGTATGCAGCCAACAGTGGTAGTAATAGTATTACTAGTAGTACAAATCAGATTTCAATATCTTCGGAAGCAGCTACAAACAACAGACTGGGTTCAGTATTGTCATTTCAAAATGACAGTCTATGTGCTAGCAGTGATCAGTTTCTAGTCCACAGTACGAACATGAGTGAGGCCGGTGCTGTAGGCCCAAAATGTCTTCCCAATATTGAAGACTTCTATGCAAAAGAGATGAAAACCTTGAATACCAATGTATTGGTGTCAGAGCTGGAAGAACAAATCCAGACAGACTCTGAAAAGTTTGTCAAATCTGACAATCGGAATCGTCTCAATTCAGAAAACTGTGATAATAACTTGGAGCAAATTCTTGGGGCTGAGGCTGCCAAAGCAGACCTAGGCCCAGGTCAAGAAAAAGTGAAAGATATAAATATTCGGCTTGACAAGAAATCAAGATCTTATCAGCATTATCCTTCCCCCACCTGCAAGTCGGGTTTGCATTATGAGGATTGGTCGAACATTAACAACATCAAACGAATTAAGATTGAAGCAGATGGGGATGAGAAAAACATGAAACGTCAGGCTTTGCAGAAATTTAATCTTGACCACAGTACAGTGAGGGTGGAAGAGATAATGGCTGACCCAGGTTGCACAATGGATGAAGAAAATGATGAAGAGGAGGAGGATATGGCAATGGAGAAAGATGACGATGTAGATGATACTCTTTTGGAAGATGAAGAGGCTGAAGTAAGCAGTGTAGGAGAACGACATTGCAAGACATCACTCCTGCATGAATCTCCTGGCCCAGATGCAGACTACACAACAGCTGACATTGAAGCAGCTGATCATTCCTGGGGCTGTCATTTGATAAAGAATAACAGCATTGTTGTTGATACATTCCATGGGCAGTTTAAAAATACAGTAAGTAGTATTCTCCTGTATTATGAGACAATAAGAATGATTCTGTTCACAAAAGCATAAGTTAAAAATTCTTGTCTGGCTTTCTATACAGATCAGACATCAAGAAGTTTTTAGTTATTCTTTTGTCTACAGAAAGAAAAGAATTATAATCAAATTAGTTCTGTTGGCAGGAGAAAGGAAGAGATTAATGTTAGCTTGAATAACAACAAAGAATTTAACAAAAATACATAATCCATAATCCATTTCATTAAATACTGATTTACTTGGACTAGTGTCCACAGAGGTAGATTTTTCTCATTTCACTTTCCCTGCTTGAGGAAATCTTGTACCAGTTCATATTTCCTTGTTAATTCATTCTTGTGATATTGCTTGTCTCTTCCCAACTCAGACGATATAACTTTGTTTAGCACTACCCAACCAGAGGAAAGCAAGTCAACACTGCCAGGTAATGAGATCTACTTAAATGCTGCTATTCATATGGACTGAATTTTGGATTCATTTCAAAAACTCCAGAAGAAGGTTTGGAGAGTACAATATTTTAAATGTGAATGGTAATGACCAAGATGAAGACAGTCATTCAAGTAAATCAATGGATAATAAAAATAATTACTATTTTCAAAAATTTTAGCAAAAAATATTCATTCTCTTTTTATGCAAAATCTCTCAATCAGTTATATTTCAAAAATGGGGTGTCAACAGGTTTATTACCAGATTTTAAAACAATAGCAATATTTTCCTTTGATTCTAATTCCTAAAAAAAACATTTTGTCTGATATTGACAACTGTGATGACTTTATAGAAAGAAAATTATCTAAGAATTTTGTACCTGTTTCTCTGTTTTCTTACATGTACAAATATATGTATTTACAAATTGCTAGAATTTTTTTCATGCCGTATTGATTCTGGAGACAATGTTATGTTTCTTCTTTTAATCTTCTTGGTGTTTGTATGTGTTATATATTATAATAAGTATTTCTTATGATGATTGTTTTCATTCCTTCTTTAAACAAATTTTTTAATGCTACTATCTTATTTTACTTAAATGTTTTTAATCACATTTTTTGTTTTTACATGGGACTAGAACTGATTTTCTTTTGTAGACATGCTTATGACATCTATTGTCAGAGTTCTTATATGAATCCTACTGTCACTGCCTTCATTCATATGAATCAATACTACCTTTTCTGAACTACTTTAAATTGTCCGAACTTATGAGATTAAATATATTCATTTTATTTACTTATGACAGATTAAGTTAAAACGTCTACCATTTGTGGCCATCTCTCCAGATACTGCTTCTGAGTTTTCAGGATGTTTCTTTCTCATCAGTGTGTTTTTGTTCAGGATGATGCATTCTTTAGCTTTTTGCATTATCTGAATCATTCATTGTCATTATTCTATGAACTATTTTCATTCTTGCTCTTCTTGTCACAACATTTCTGCTAATATATTCAGCCATTTTTATGTGCACAGTCTGGTTGCTTGTGTGTCTAAAACTTTTTTTTTTTATTGTGATTCTAGATTGGGGTATTGATGAATTTTACAAACAGTTGTAAGTTGTCAGTCTAAAAATAAAATCAAATACTGACAATATCTACTGAATAGATCAACACATCTAATTTTCTCAGCACATTTACTAAATAATGATGACTGTTTATTAGTAATTGTAAATATTCTTGCTCTCCTGAGCAAAGGTACCTGTATAGCTTTGAATTCTATCTGGTTTATACCTGAGCAAGGTTGAAAAACCTAAAATTTGATTAAAAACAGCAAGAATAAAAACATTAGTTTGAATAATTATATGCTTTACTATTGGATTGTTATCTTAACAATATTTCAGTTGTTGTATCTTCCAGCTTTCTTTTGGTGTCTGTTTTCATACTCTGTAACCTTTTTGAAATTTCAAACCAAACCATTTATTTAATTCATGGTGGTAGATTGTTCTCATTACACTTTCCATGCTTAGGCGATGTTTACTATCAGTTAAGATTTACTAATTTTATTCACCTTTGTTTCATATGTCTGTTTCTGAACCAGAGTATGTGCCTTTGTGCACTATCAGACCCAGGCAATGAATTTTCAACTGCCAGGGAACCAGATAGATTTTAACCAATACTTTAATCAAGTAAGCAATGTGTTGTTTGAACAAGCTAATGTAGGCCTTAAAACAAATCTTTGTACATTGGTGATGGGCTGCATGAATATCCTGCCCTATTGTCTTATCCTCCAGTCTTGTTCTGTGTGTATTGACTTCATTCCACAGGGGTGTGGGGTGGGGCAGTCCATCTCTCCTTTCTATTCTTATAAAAGAAGAAACTAGCTGTCTCCCAACATAAAAGGTGTAGGTGCATTAAGAAGTTATTGTTTAGGAAGAAACACTGAAATCAGGCATATATATGAAGGGAAAGGTTGTTCATCAACTCCTTTACTTTTTATGCATGTTATTTGGCTGATTTCATTTCTACAAATAAGAGATAGAGAGAAACCATCTTATATACTGTATTCTTTAATTTTTTATAGGACTTTAATTTATATGGATACATATTGTGTTTAATGTATGTGGAGATGTATGCCTACCTAGCATAAAAATTGGTAATAACATTGGTTTTATATTCATATCTACTTAAGTTTGCTACTCTTAATGCATTAGCTTCATGAACCTTATCTTCTTGCTATTATCTCCAAGTATTTATATTCTTCTTTGTAGGTTGTTTGCTCAGAATGCTGCCATGTGTCTGTTACATACGAACCATTTATGTACTTGTCTGTGCCAATACCTCATGCAATGGAACGCCAACTCTGTAAGTTTCAGTTTTTTGTCTTCTTTTTATTATTTTGTATAGAAATAATTTCAGAAAGGAATTGTAATTGTAAACAGCACTTTTTGAAATGCAACCTCAAAGCTAGTGCCCAGTATGGCTACTTAAGCTTTGGCAACCACAATCTTAACAACAAGATAAGCAAATGACATAGTGTTGATAGCAGACACAGAAACGAATGTACTAGATCTCCTCCAGAAGGTAGTAAATGAAAGCCAGAAGAAAGGACTAAGCATCAATTGTAAGAAGGCAATGTATGTTTGTCAGCAGAAGAAGCAGCGTAAGATGTGACCTACGAATTAGTCACCAAAATCAAGCAAGTACAAGAATTTAAATATCTATGAAGTGTTTTAACAGAGGATAGAAAATATGATGCTGAAATGCAAAGGTACATTGGAATAGTGATAGATGCCTTTCAAAAGTGAAGTAAAGTATTAAGAAACAGGAAAATTTTATTAGAAACAAAGAAAAGAGTACTGAACTGTTTTGTAATATTGTTCCTCCTATATAGTGAATGCTGGGCAATCACCTTACAAATTAAGAAGAGACTTGAGGCAATAAAAATATAGTTCTACAAAAGTACACTGAAAATCCCATGGACTGAACATATGAGTAATGAGGAAGTTTTAATGAAAATATAAACAAAAAGAACATTTCTACTTAGAATAAGAAAAAGACAACAGAGTACATAATGAGTAAAGAAAGTTTAGAGAATTTGACACTCACAAGACATACTGAAAGTAAGTGAGACAGAAGAAAACAATATATAACCTAACTAATGAGTTAGTGAAACGGTTTGGCAGAATGGTTGGGATTAGGGTTGATACTAAAAAGATAAACTTTACTAACAACTAAAAAAAAGACAAGAAGTTGTGGAGAGCCATGATCGTACACGTCTTGAAGGACATGGCACATGGAAGTTTTCTGATCTTTGTCTTAGTATCTTATTCCTCATCATATTTAACACAATCTTAATAGAAAAAAATATAAAGAATTAACTTCATTTTATCAACAAATGAAGTACAAAAGTTAATTTCAAACAGTGTCCTTAATCTATTAATTGCATTTGGTATAATTTCCATCATTGCAGTTCTATGATTCAACTGTGATTTACTGAAATTTCTGCTGCAGTAATGATATCTATGACAAAATATTATTTAAAGGGAAATGTATTACTGTATTTAAGCGATTCCTGTCAAAACACAAAAATTAAAAATGTATGAAACCTGATTTTTTTTTTTTTTTTTTACATATACAATTGCTGGCAAAAATTATGGAATTGCAGACTTAGAGGATGTTCACACTTAGGATTTATATTTGTTTGTAAATGAACTAATCACAGATAAGATGCAGAACATTTTTTTTATTTAATAGCTCAAAATTCTGGCTTCATAAAATATATGATAAACAAACTAGATTAAATTATTTAAATTAATGGTATATTTTTTTTACCAAGCCATGTGGAGGAAGACATTGAATGTTGATAAAAAAAAATTATGAAATGAACTTGTAATTTGCATTCTTGTAATTTGTTATAAAACAAATTATACTGTTAGAAACAGACTGCTTCTAGGAATGTTAAATCACTGTGCCTTATTAGATATTTTTTCTTTCTAGAATCTATCTTACACATTTATCACAAAACCATTCTTTTATGCATTGAATATTGTTGTCACATCTAGTTTGGTGCTTCTGCTATGTATTTAGAAATTCTTGGTAAAATCCAAAGAAGAATCTGCAATATTATTTGTCCTGACCTGGCATCTTGTCTTCAGTCACTTTCTTACCACTGTAACATAGTTTCCCTGTGCCTTTTCTATAAATATTTTTATGGTAATTGTTCTGATGAGATTTCCTCTTTAATATCTTGACTATATGAATTTAAGTGTAGTACTAGATTGGTAGCTAGCTCCTCATTTTACAGTTCTATACTAACAGTTTCTTTTTGCACTTCTCTCTTATGGAAAATTCTTCCAGGCTTTGATCTTCAAAAATTTGAATACAATTGTTATTTTCTGTCTTCTTAATTCTTGTTCTCTCTCCTTAATAATGTTTTTCTTTTCTCATCTTCTTTCTCACTCAGTAACCCCTTGCATCTTAGTGGCTCTATTGCCTTGCTGGGGGTGAAATGATTAAAAAAATCAATAGAAGCCTAGATAATCAAATCATTTTACAGTCAAAAGAGACTCCTTGCAGAATTCAACAAGCTTGTACATTTACATAATTGAAAGGAAGCGTGTCTCAAACAAAAGAATTGAAACAATGGAAAGGATCATAAAACTCATTCAAGGAGGCAATCCACATTAGAGTGTGGCAAAAGTCATTGGTTCTTCCCAGTCACCTGGAATTAAAATTTGGTGCAAATATAGAAATAGAATAGTTAAAATAAAAGGACAACATACTAGTAGACGATGAAAGACATCAAAGTGTCAGGATAGAAAATCCAGAAAATGGGTCTAAAAAAATGTTCATATTTGTGAGTGTACTGTAAGAAATCTGTTAAATGAAGAAATGCAGAAAAGTGAAATGAAGACCAGCACTAATAGACAAGTAGAAGAAAATGAAGATAAAATTGATTTAAAAGAAACAATCATGGCAGGTTGGCTGAGAGTGATATTCAATGATGAATCAAGAATCTGCATTGGTCAAGGCATTGATGCTGGAGCTTTTGTCTGGTAGCATTCAAATAAAACAAAAATAACTGCCTGATGAAAACAAATTTCTCTAGTCATTCATGATAATGGGGTTGGATGTCATTTAAATAACCAAGGGGATATTGCAGTCATTACGTCAACCATCAATGTACTTGTGTACATTGAATTCCATCCATAATTTGTTTCAGTGATGAAGTCATTTTTCAGGATGGTAATGCATCTTGTCATGGAACAAAGGAGATTAAAGTTTTCTTCCGGAAAAAAACATAAAATCAATGACAAAGCCAGTGAAGACACTGAATTGAAATTCAGTGAAAAAAAATGGGAAAGCTCCATCTATCAAAGATCTGTTGACTGCCATTTGGAAAAGTTGGAACAACTTTGAGAAAGGATGTCTTGGTAGTTTAGGTTAGGATTTCTGAAAGTAAGTATTTGATACATCCGGTAATAATAATGGCTAGAAATGCCAGAAGTAAGGGTCTGTTGTAGCTTGAAGTAATGAAGGGCAAGAATGCCAGGAGTAAGAATGAATAGGAAAGCCCAAATAGTGTCCAGTTGGCAGACAAAAATAAATGGGCACATAACTCAGTACATAATCTGTCCAGACCCCCGGGTCACAAAGACCAGGGTACCTGCATTTCACTGCCTCCTCATCCTCAGAGAAGTCACCAGGTTATATAATGGAGTATAAACGTTAACTGGGTCTGCATACCTATTTAATATTTAAAGAAAATAAATTCAGAGTTGCCACAATGCATAAAAGATATAAAAATGTTCACAAAGATTATTCAGACTAAGTTTGTAATACTGAAACAACAAAAAAATCATTAGGTTTATTATAAATCTAAATGAGCTTGCTATATTAAATTGAAGGGAGTGTGGCAGCGCAATGAAGAAAAGGTTAAGGTTATGAAGACATATACTGCCTGTCCTTGATCATGTGAGCAGAGTAGTGAAGGGGCTATGATACCATAAAAGTTTAAGGTGGGGCAACTAAGTATATATTCTAATTTTTTTTTGTCACTGAATTCCATTATTTTTTCTTCAATATTGGGTTGTTCCATAATATTTTCCTTTGCATGACTTGGAAGAATTTATACCATTTAATTTAAATAATTTAATCTAGGCTGTTTAAAGTATAATTTATGAAGCTTTATGTTCAATGATTAAATAAATATTGTTTTGCATCTTATCTGTGAATAATAAAAAATAAAAAAAAAACTTCCTCTAATTGTGCTCATCCCATAATTTTTGCCAGAGGGAGAATAGTCCAAAAATGAAATTAAAAATAAATATTTTAAAGTTTGTTATTCAACATGAAATTGCTAATTTTGTTTTAAACTTGGAATTTTTATTTTTTAACTTGATGAAAAACTGCTATGCAGATAGAATTTTAAGCTTGTTTCTCTGGAAAACCTAAATAGAGCTTTTGACCTCAAATTGAACTATGTTTTTATCAAATCATACCTTATTTGAAAATATCACTATCATAAACTATTGGATCATGTTTGATTTAAATCCTACTTTTCATTACAGCAATGAATATAACACCAAACTATTTTTTGTGAGTACTTAAGACATCATTAAGAGGTTAATGTCTATGGCTCCCTGTTGCTTGTGTTACAAATTTAAGCCCAACAAGATCTTTTTTTCTTTTGATTTCCCAGAAGTTAGGGAAAAAGGGTGTAATTAGTTTCTGGATAGGAAATTTTTCAGCTAGATATCTTTTTATTATATGAAAAGAAAGATTCAATTTACATGACTTGATGAACACAAAGTAAAGGTCTAGTTTAGCATTATATTTACATTGTAAATTGTACCCACTCTAAAATTGTAAAATGTTTTGGGATTTTTCTAAAATCATGTTCTGGGTTCCCATTACTATGCACAGAAAATTTCTAGAGCTGTCCTTGAGTTATGTGATGACAGACACAACATAATTTTAGTGAATTCTTGTAAGAGTGATGACAGACATGAAAAAGTCTTCTGCAATTATATTAAGATGATTTTTTGATATTTTATTTTTAAATAAATTAGTTGTTGATTTTTGTTTTAGCAAAAATTTTATGTCATGTCATTTATTTAAAAATTATTTTAAGCAAATCAGGAAAGTTGTTCAGTTCATGATTTTCATATTCAAATTGAGAGTCTCGGGAATATAAATTCTGCAATTTGAGATTAATGCTGTTTTTTTTTTTTTTTTTCTGAAATTTGCATGTAGAAATTTCAGTTGAGAATATCATAAAAGGCTTATAAAATCCTCAATCAGATTTTCACTATTGATGTTTTTTATGACACTTTCTCTGGTATCTAAACTATAATCTTGAAAATTCTTTAAACCAAGAACTTACTGTTCATGCAAAAAAGCATTGTCACCAAATGTAAAATTTATATTAATTGCAGTTTCAGCTTCATTGTGGCTCATTTTGAAGTTGTACAACAAGAAAACACAAATCATAAATTACTGAAATAGTTGTAAAAAATTAATGGAATAAAATACAATTTTCCTAAATAATCAAGAAACAGATTATTTAAAAATAAAATGATCATTTTAAAATGTCCTGCTTCAAATCACTTGAATTTCATGTTGAACAACCTCAAACTGTATATATACATATATATATATATATTTTCAAATATAAAACTTTGATTCACACACGCACTTGATTCTTAATATGTCGTTGCACTTGATGGAATTTTCTTGAAATTCAGATTTTCTTTAATCGTGTTTCAGGTGTAATATTCATGCCTCAAGTACGTTCTATGCCCCCAGTGCGTTACCTGTTGAATCTGAATAAGAATGACAATATCTACAAGGCAAAGACTGAGCTGCGGGAAGTGGCCAGCCAGCCTGACTGTGATATCATCATGGTTGAAGTGGTTGACAGTCACATCACTAGGGTTTTGGTAAGCATGCCTGTACCTGCACATTTTAGCGATTCATCAGAACAAACCTTGGATTTTTGTAGATATTTCTGTAAGATTTTAGGGGATTTTTTTTTTTTATTGTGGGGTATTCTATTTATTTTAAGAATTGTTTATATTTTTCTGTTTCCCTTTTTCATCTTCATAATTTATATTTGAGTAAAAACAGTGCCATGTAAAACAAGCTTGATAAGTCTCTTGACTGTTTAGAATATCTCATTTTCAGAGATGATGTTTTGAAAATAAGTCTCAAAATGAAAAGGGGTTGCCATTAGAAAAAGTATCTGTGGTCCACTAGAAATTCATAAAGTCCTTTGTAAACTTCCTTTACATAGGTTACAGACATGATTTTAAAACTGATACACATGATTTGTTTAAAAGAATGGGTTTAACAAAACTATAAAACTTTCACATTGGTTCAAAGTTACTTAATGTGATTAACATTCTCACTTACTTTGGACTTGAACTTTTTTCTTTTTTGCAAAACGGCAATTATTTTCTGAGAGCAAAAACTATTTATGTAAATATCATTTTTATTTTCTGTATTATTTTCAAATGATTTCATGACAGTTATTCCATCTATTTTTCAAGCTTTTTTCTTTATCTTTGTTTTGTTTTTAGCACAATATTTTGGCCAATATATTCTTTGCCCCTTTCTCATTTGTCTGTAGTTGGGAGATGAAGTATTTCCATTTCTTATATTTTTCAAATTATTATTTTTATCTTTGTTTCCACACAATTTTTATTGAAATATTCTTAAACTTTTTCAGTATGGTGTATCTGGTATTCTTTAGAAACCACTTAGTACTTTTGTCGTCAACACTTGAAAAAGTCATTGTACTGATTAAGTCTTCTTATATTAACACAAGAGTGTAACCTTTTAATACTTGGTCTTGTGAATCTGGATTTAAGACACCAAAAAAAATTGTAAGCTACTTTTATAATCCATTAGAAGTGATATACACCTGTGAGTGGCTGAAAATAATCAATATAGGCTAAAAATAGCTGCTAAAATAAAAAAAAATTAGAAAAATATATGGAATAATATTGAAAATATTTCTTCTCAAAGCTTCAGAAAAACAATTGTTTTTTTTTTTTTAAGTATTTTATAAAGCATTTTGTTTGAATGCTTTCAGACAGGTAAATTTGCTTTTGTTTTTTTTTAATACTGTTAATACAGATGATTTTTTAAATATTTTATTTTTACTCTTGTTTCTATTGGATACTGATGTGAGCACTGATAATGAATCCATCATATTGTAATTAGTTTTTTAAAGAGAGATTAACATTGTTACATTTAAAAAAAAAGGAATTAATAACCTCCTAAACATATAAAAGTAGAAATGTACTAAGAACCAGTACTGTTATTAATAGCTGGAAACTACCAAAGCTTTTTATTTTATTCACTGCTCTCAATACAAAACCTCACATTGTGGTGAATATAGAAAATAACATGACAATCAGGAACTTTAATGTTTCTGATAAACATTTTGTTTTCATAGTGTTCTACATCTAATTTGTGTAGCATAAAAGCCTATGTAAGAGAAAATGGTATTAATGTTGAAAATATTGTTTTTCATTAATGTGATGGCCCTTTTGAATGTTCTAAAGTGATCTTATTTTGGGGTTATTTTTTAAAGCTTTCATAAAATGTACATGTTAGGATTCCTTTCCACTTTTTTGAGAGTTTTTATTAATAAAATAGAAATATATAAATTTGTTCTTTAGAAATTCAGTTGCTTCAAGGGTTGCAGTTGTGGTTGCTGCAATCAAAATTGAATGCCTTTGTTACCAGATTAATTCAGGTGAAGTCAGGTAAGATCACAGCTATGTAATCTGTTAGATACAGTGGATCAATAAAAGTTGTTAGAGTACATTCACCAGATTTTGTTCTTTTCATATGTAGATTAAAAGATGCTTTTTTTTTTTTTTTTAAATGCATCTCATTTATGATGCTATTTACTAAGGCAAGCATAGTTTTGGCCCAAAGCGACATGTATAGGGTATCCAGTAAGGGCTGAATTCAATAGTAATGCTCTACAAAACAAACTTGTTAACCATAAGGTTTGTTAATTGTGCTGAAGATGAAGTGCTTTTGAATTTTCTTTGAGTGAAGATGAATTTTTCTCAGAATTTGAAGATCTTAATAATAGTGAATAAATTTTACCTAAGCAGTTGAATTTACCAACATGTCTTTTTTCCTTTGTGTTTTAAATTTTATATCACTGTAGTTCTTACATTAACACATTTTAAGCAAATTGCTTTTATTTAATGTCATTTTTTTTTTTTTTTTTTTTTTTATGAATTTGCATGTGTGTTATAACACATGAATTAGTAAATGCAGTCAATCTTGACAGATGACATTTATTTCTTTGCACTTGTTAAACAAAATTGGCATCCTATTGTACTTGCATCATGTTTATAATTTGATTTTATTGCTGGATTATCAGATAATTATTCAATAAATTTCAATCAAACTTTCTCTTATCTTCTCACTCCTAATTAAGAATCATATTTGTTTCAGGATGATAATATACTGTTACGTTTTGTTAATGACTCAGCTCGAAAAATCTATGCATTTGAAATGGCTGCTCCCCCAAGCTCTCTTGACAGCTCCCCAACAGATAGCATTGGAGACCTTTCAGCAGTTAGTTCAAGCTTTTCTGCTAAGGAAGACCTAACCACAGTTCAACCATGCTCATCCACTTCACCAGACATCTTCACCAACATGGACACCTTCACTTTGGATTCCTTCACCCCACCCAGTACTCCTGCCACAGTGGCATTGTCATCTGTCTCAAACACTCCCATCAACACCTCTTATACAGCTGGTTTCACAAATACTGTGACTGCTTCTTCGTGTAAATTGAAAGCTCCTCTTTCTGCAGACACTGAAACGTCAGTAATGGAGTCAGTACCACCAAACCCAACATCTACAGATGAGACCACTTCAGGGACCAGCAAATGTTTTTCCTCCTCATCTGTGTTCCCCGATTCTGCTATGAAAGAAGAATCGGATTTGTGTGATTCTTCTGTTGTGTCACAACAGCAGCAGTTGTCATCTCATTCCAAATCTGAGGTGAATGCTACCAACTCTCCGAACATGTGGGACTGGCCTCCCCCAGTGACTAGCCCCTCCAGTGTGGCCATTCCAATGACATGGGAGTCAAACTTGGACACATGTGATCAACCCCAACAACAGCCCATTGTCTCTAGTAGCAGTTTGCCCCCCATGGCTGAACATTGGCGGTCTTGTGCAATTTGTCTTGAGGAGTTACTTGACACTGGTCTCATGGTACATGCATCATGCGGGGGCACTTTTTGTCACAGCTGTCTAGAGGTAAGAATCAGGTAGAAGTTTAGTTATGTGTTATTTTAGTTGTATAGAATTATGTTAGGGATATAGAACTTTTTAAATATTTGTTTTATTCTGTAACATAAAATGTTAAAATTTTGAAAAATAATTGACATAACTTTTGCTTTTGTTTTTATCATGCAAATATGTATTACTGGAGAGAGAAATCATTTTCATAACTTGAAGGATTTCCACGATTAGAATAAATTTCCATTGTTCTCACTGATTTAATCATTTTTTAAATGCTGTAGATAATTTAAATTGTGTATATGTTTGTTTGAGGAAGAAGAAAAACTTTCCTTTCTTTTTGTTTATCCCTTCCTAACTAAAATTTTATAACTGAACACATTAAATCCAAATTTTGACTTAATGAAGAAAAAAAATTAACAAATATCATTAATTGCTTTTTGTCAATGACAATTAGTGTCTAAAAATGTTAAGTGTTGCTTCAAATTTCAGTATTGATCTAGGGACAATAAAATAGCTACCCTGTAGATATATGAGTATTAGAAATCTTACAACTCATTCTGAATAATTGAATTATAAAAACTTTGTTAATGAATGTTTTGGATTAAAGAGTTTTGAAATCTGCATATTTTTTTTTTTCAGATGTCCCTTAAACATCACAGTGTTTTTTCTTATACATGTCCAGTAAGTTCTGTCTTTATTTCCATAATTTTCATGTAATCATTCAGAAATCTATCTATTCTAATATTACCAAAGTTTGTCTTAACCAATGGCAGTCAGTCTTTACTCAATTTCAGAAGAGATTGAAATCAATGAGATTGATTTCATTAAATTATCTGAACTTATATCAGTTAGATTAATAGGTTTTTCATCACAAAACTATTTTTATAACAAAGGAAAGCAACACTTTACAATTTTCTTCATATTTATGTCTGTGCTGAATTCTAACTTAAGACTAACAATACATTTAGGGTTTGATTAAGTTTGAATATTTTTAATCCAATTATAATTAAGTTTCCAAATATTAGAACATTTATAAATTTTAGGTATATAAATAAATAAATTTCTACAAAAATTTTTATTCAGACAATGTGTGTGTGTGTGTGTATATATATATATATATATATATATATATATATAAATATATAAAGTGTATATTAAAAAGAAGAGACTTAGTGACCCAAATGTCTTCAAGGAAGACATTTGGGTCACTAACACTAATAAGTGTCACTAACACTTGAAAAAGAGAATGTCTAATATCGAGAATATTTAACATTGAAAAACATAAAAAAAATTAATTCTTTTTAATAATATGTGGAAATATCCACTCTTTGCCTGATGAAGGTCACAAGACCAGAAACACATGTAGCAAAATTATGGAAAATAAAGCATAATATATTTAAAAAAAAAATCCACATTACAACCAAAATGTTTGCAGTTTCTTTCTTCTTTTATATATATATATATATATATATGGATACGTGGCCGAGTGGTTAAAACGTTTGCTTTCTGACCATGACACCTGGGTTTGAATCTCACCATAGTCAATTTGTCAGGATGGAGACATCCTGATATTATTGGTGTGGAATGAGGAGGATCCTAGTGTGTGGCACCTTTGGAAAGAGTATGAAAACTATATCAGGGGTTGACCCAAGCCTTGTGAGTAAAGTTGGGTAGATGGAACATTTGGGGCTGTTGATAGGTGTGCTAGTATGAAGTCACAAGTCATCATGACCGAGGATTTGAGTGTGCTGGTTGGTTCAGATTGTTAATCATTCTCGATAACACACTCTTTCCCAGAAACTGTAACTAAGGTCTGCTCAGTATAGTTACAGTGTAAACCACAGTTTGCCTCTGTGGGTGTTGAACAAAGACAAATGTGCCTGAGTGAGATTTTGCAATAGGGATTGGCTAACCACCCTAGTAGACAGGCATCTTTGAATACGAGTGGCCTGCTATTATTTTATATATATATATATATATATATATATATATATAAGTGAACATAGAAGTCAACACTTAGAGGCGACAGTCTGTTTCATGCTAGATGCAATCGTCAGGCCACGAGTGCTGTTATTTTTCTCAGCTATTTATATATATATATATATATATATATATATATATATATAGGTCAGTAGTGCATTGTGGGTAGTCTATTTTGGCGGTTATTTTACTGGAAGTTGTTTATTTATTTATTTGGGTTAAATTATTTTACTTGTTTTTATTTTTTTTATTTTTATTTTTTATTTTTATTTCTTATCATATATTTATTTATTTATTTTTTATTTTAATTGGTGTTTTTATTAACGTAGTAAAAATTTGTTTATATTGCTTATTTAATAGTTTTGTTTTGGTTTGGGAAGATAAAGCTATTTATTCAATTTTGGGGTTGATTGTTGTAGTTTATTCTAATTATTATTTTGGCGGGAACAGTTTTTAATTTGTTTATTACTTCATGTATTTATTTGGATTGATTATCTTTATTTGTTTTTTTTCCAATGGTTAGTTTATCAGGATCAGTTTGTTAGTTTATTTATTTATTTGGATGAATTTAGGCCAATTTATTTTACTTATTATTTATTTGTTATACTGTATATTTTCTCTTTTCGATTTTTAAGTGACGTATTTTTTTTTTTTTTTTTTTTTATCGTTATATAACAGTTATAGGTATTTTGTTTTTTTGTTTTTTTCCATCCGATTTTTGGTTTGATTTTTATAGTCTAACTAATATTTTGGTCATAATGGTTTCCCAGAATCAAACACCCTACACAAAATATTCAACAAAAACACAGTAAAAATCAGCTACAGTTGCACCGAGAACAATAGCACAAATAATAAAAAAAAACAAGTCAACAATACTAGGAAACAATTTCAGCGACTAATGTATTATTGGAGGTATCCAAGTATGATTTGCCAATTTGTTGAAGTAGACATAAATTTATCAAAAACAGATTCTTTTTAAAAAATATTTAAAAAAAAATTTTTTTTAATATACTCAGGAATCTTCTTAAAGGGGCCAATAGGTAAAATTAAAAATGTGTAAACAACTATATAGGTTGTTATCTGTACTGAATAGATGGTAAAACAAGGCAATATTATAGTTGAATAAATAAATGTTGTCTGGACCATTATATACTAATAAAATAATGGCTATACAATTATAATATGTAATTATGAAGAAAATTTTTAACTATATTTAGAAGGTAAAAGGTACATAAATGGTAAAAAGGTAGACAAATGCGCCATAGCACTGTTAATTCGTTTCTTTGGTTTAACAGGTTTTTATTGTTAGGAAACTTTATAATATGCAATTTTTCTTGTAAACATAGGGGACATGGATCATTTAAGGATTTACAGGTTCTAGTTATTTTAAATATTTTCCATTTTACAGTAGGAGATTTGTTAACTTCTTTTAAGTGCCAAAAATATTTAGAAAGGGATGTTCTGTTATGATATGCATTGTTGTTGAAATATGATATGTATTGATACCACTGAGTTTTAAAGGAATTTATGCTGCTTATATAAAATTTTTTATCTGTTGGATTTTCTCTAGATGAAATAATACTTAGGTAAACAACAGAATCTGTTAGATATCTATTTTGTAGTGGACAGTTGTTAGGATTTCTGCAATTACAGAAGTTGGTATCATTATTGTTTGTTGCTTTGGGAGGGCTATTGTTACTTTAAGTGTTGATTTAAAATTTTATTATTCTGGTTTTTAATAATTTTTTCAATGTTATCTGTACAGTTATAGTTTAATTTAAGTGTATTTTTATTAAAAATCTTACTAAGATTATTATTAGGGAAGTGTTTCTTAATGAAATTGAGAAACTTCTGTCCTAACTTCGTACTAACCATTTGGTTAAATGAGAGTGTGTACCAATTGATTTTTCTGTTTCTATTTTTTCCCACTAACACTGTTATGTTTCCTATATTTAATATCAGTGCACCTATAGCCACTATTTTTTAAAGCAGTGTTATAAATTTACTATGTTTATAAAATACATCTTAACTGGAAGAGTTATTACTGATTCTATAAATAAAATCGCTATTGGCTTCAACTATGGTTTCCAGATGACTTTGGAATCTCCTGCAACTCTTCTGGACAGTCTCCTTGTTCAAGTTGGTGAATGCTGCGAAAATTCTTACCTTCAGTTCATCTTTGGCGTTACAAGGAGTTTTGTTGGTGTCTCACTCAACTGTGCCACACACATAATAATCAAGGGGGTTGCAGTCCGAGGAGTTAGACGGCCAGATGTAAAGGGTGAGATGGTCACATAAATTGTCTGACAGCCATGACTGGGTTCTCCTGTGTGGCATGGTGCAGAGTCCTGTTGCCAGATAAGGGTATTCCTCCAGCAGCCACCCTTTTGACCTAGGGCAGCACTATCTCCTCAGGGCACTTGATGTAGGCCTCTGTGTTGAGTCTGAGGCTTTCACCAATAAATTCAGATATTTTCTCATCAGAATGATCAGAGTGAATTTTCTAAACTGCTGTACCTTTGTAATCACCATTAGACTCATCCAACTCTTCCTGAATCCTCTGCACTGTCCTCAGATTGACACTCTGAAATGTTTGTATTGGAACTTCTAGTGCAAATGCCAAGCAGTACAGCATACTGTTTCCAAGTTTCTGGCTGAGTGAGTTGCGTCATGGTGCCCTTTTTCTCACAGTTTTCCAACTGACCCTCTATACTGTGCATTTGACAAAATCAAAAATGGTGTGCATGTACGAAATTAAAAATGTAGAATGTTGACAATTACCCATTGCACCTTGTATATCCAAACATGTTTTATTAAATTCCACCGACGTGTTCTGTCTATTCAACTTTTTATTATATCTTTCATCTTTCCAATTTACAAATGAGTTTTGCCTTGGGATTGAAGTTATGAATAAATTGTCTAAAGTTCATATTTATTTCTGTTATAGTCAAGCACATTTGACTATCAGTCATTGTCAAGAACTGGGTATTATCATTTTTGTAAACAAGTCTATTTTTTTTACTAAATTCTAATGTTTTTAGATTGCTGGAATTGAAATCAGTTCAAACCTTCTATTATATGCCCTATATATGATGTTGTTTTCATATTAACAAAAACCATAGCCAAAATAAAAAACCCTTAAAGAAATGTTTGAGAATAGCTCTGTTCTACAATTTATTTACAAACTCAAAATTAATAATAGAATCCCTTTTCTTAATGTCCTAGTAGATGCTTACAATCATAATTTAATTACTTCACTAGATAAAAAAACCCCACAAGCAAAGAAAAAGTGAGCGTTCTCATCGATATAAAATAAGAGTTATGAAAACCCTGATTAACCATGCTAAAATGATTTCTTCTTCAGATATATTATTTTATAAAGAATTAAGTAAACATAAAACAGACATTTATCAACAATAATTTCCCAAACAAGGTGGTTGATGAAGAAATAAAATTGTCTTTGAAGTAATTTATGAAAAATGACATAATCATCTTGATATAAACAAAAATAGAGACATTAATTTTTTTTTTTGTTGTAACCATATACATCTTAATTATAAGCAAGATGAAGAATCCCATAAAAATATAATTTGCCAGTATCTAACAGTTAATGATCTTAATAAATAATGTAGATTTATAACTTAGTATAAAAAATTCAAAAATCTAATCTAATTATTACTACTAAATCAACACCTCAAAAATCCACCCTATGTAAAAAAAATAATGTTGTTTATAAATTCTCATGTCCTTTGGGAGATTGTATCTTCAAGACTAATAATCATCAAACAACATTAAATTCTTACATTGGCCATACATACACCACACTCTCCCATAGGTTGACTTTACACTTGTCAAAATTTAGTACATATTGATCAGCACATCACAGACAACCAAAATACTGTTAACATACAACAAATTTTAATAAATAACACCAAAATATTCTAAGACTCACTGCAAAGAAAAACTCAAAATTCTAGAAGCCAATATAATAATAATAAAAAAAAACAAACCACATTACTAACTATTCATCTTTCTGTTTCCCTATCAATCAGACACAAAACTATTTAAATATTCCATTAAGCCTGGATCTTATCAATGGTTAGCTGAATTTTATAAACAAATGTTGTTGCTATTTTATTGATTGATAATATTAACAAACTTTTTCAGAAACCTGTAATTATTTTTCTTTTTGTTTCTGTATTACAGTAATTCTTTTGCTATTTCTTTTATTCTTTTTAGGTGTGTCTTGCATTTGCCAATCCATCTGTTGAATTTGTCCCTTTGGCTGATCCAGAAAGTAAACGATTAAGGACAAGGTAATGCATTAGGCTGATACACAGTTGAGATTCAAAAATATCTTTCTCTTTGGAGATAGATAACACTTCTTGGATGATCAACATTTATATCAATAACTTAATTTGAGGATGAGGTTTCTATGTGTATCTACATTATATATATAATATATATATGTGTGTGTGTGTGTGTGTATATATATATATATATATATATATATATATATATAAAGTAGACAAGTTTGCACAATTTTCAGGCCTGAATTTTGCTTTGAAGCATGAAACAGACTGTTGGTACTCTGTGTTGACCTCAGTGTGTACTTTTATATTTGCATACACTATATCCCTGATATTGATCACATTTACCCATAAATATAGCTTACCTTAAAACTATATTATTATCATATATATGATCTTACTAAATTAAAAACACAAAAGTAAAATGAACACAGTTGTCAGTTTCACATTGGATAATCTTCAGGTTAGATTTTTTTGACATACAAGTATGGTATGGTCCATAAACACATAATCAGGGCTTACATAGCACATGGTGTACTTATTCTCATGCCTCCAGTTAGAAACCTGTTCAAACTTTTTGTTCTGCTGGAGTAATTCCAGATATAGTTCACAGCTTTTAGATTTTTCCTTGTGGGAAAATATTTGCCTCAAAATTTTCCAGTTCACACCTGTATTTAGCTACCATATTTTCAATTCCTACAAAAACGGAAAGTGTTGTATTACTGACATACTGCCTTCTTATAAAGGTTGTTTTTGGATTAGTGTTTTTGTTTCCATGACTTTTAAGTAGCACCAAGTTTACTTCTGGTGATTTGGTGTGTGTGTGTGTGTATATATATATATATATATGGGAGTGTTAAAAGGTCCTCAGCCCAACCAAGAAATCCTTCAAAAATAAATCTGATGTTTGATCAGATTTTGAACATTGAATTCTAATTTATAAGAAAGGTTTTTCTTAGATGTGTGAATAGTGTATTTTGTGAATAGTTAGTCTATCTTGAAGATATATGGGGTGTTAAATCTTTAATAGCAACACTGGTTCTTATTTGAATGTTAATTAGATACTTCCGTAACAAAGAATAATTATCAGGTAACGTCTTATGATTGTGATAATTCTCTTTTGATTATATCAATAACTTAATTTGAAGATGAGCTTTCTGTCTATATCTGCATTATATATATATATATATATATATTTGGTTGGATTGATGTCACATCACTCCAACTAAATATGTTAGCTCTATCACTGATATTGAGCACTTTCTAATAAGTACTGCGCATATATAATGTATAAATAATATATATAAAAAATTGCATATATATATATATATATATATATATATATATATAAAAACCCTGTAAACTCCTCTGAAGTATAGAGCCACAACCTCACCACAATAAGTGTTGCTGTATTTTTATTTATATTTGTGTTTAAAAATATTTGAAGTTTTGTAATAAAATAACCACAATAGAAATTAGCATAGCTTTTATTCAAGTAAACTTTATATAGATATGAAATGAAACAACAGTTCACTTTGTGTTGAATTCTCAACTCTTTACTCTATTGATTAGCTATACTTTTATTAGCTTATGTTTTCACCATCTGGTAGGTGAGGTCACTTGTAAGTAGAAATCAAAATATTTTCTTTATGTGCTCCGCGATATATTTTTTTTAACTTTATATGGATTCTAGAAGATAACTTCATGTAAAGTTTACAGGAAAATGATCTCATAGATTTAGTTTTTAATATTAAAACCCTGTATAACAAGTTTAGTATAGATTTAAATATAGATTATCATAAGGAACATCATTCAAAGTGTGTATATATTTTAGGTTTTTTTTTTTTTTTTAAGTATCATTTACATGAAGTGATAAACAGAATACTGTAAATATGTTAGCACTGTTCTGCTCTGCCTAATCACTGAGCCAATGATTCACTGTTAGTAGTTGTGTTAATTGCCATTGTATTGGGAAGATTACTTGAACAAATACAATGAAGCTTCAATTAGTGGAACATTTCCATTAAAGAAATTTTTAAAAAAAAAGTCTTTTATTTTCCTTTTACTTGTTTTATTTATAGTCATTGAATTAGTCTGACAACCTAATAGGGTTAGTCTGAACCAGATGTTCTTGTTTTGTTTATTATTATTAGTAGTTTTATTTATTTACTTATTTGGGTATTTTTGTACTGATTGATGAATTTTATTGATCTTTATTGACTATATAACTTGGCTGTTTTGATATTAAATATAAATTACTAAAGAACAATCAGCTAAGCTCAGGACATGAAAGACATTGCATTAAATGTTGACGTTGGTTAAAAAATATCTTAAAAGTCATGAAATGAAAGAATAAAGATAATTTGTTTGTAATACCTCATGGGCTATCTCTACTTTGCATTGCTGACAAAATTCTTGTTCATGTCATCAAGAGAATTATCTTATTTCATAAATGACATTTACTTATAATATGATTTTTCAATCAGATTGTGGATTAACTGATATGATATTTTTCCAATGTCAGATTGTTAAAGTTCAAGAAAAGAACCAGGAACATTTCATTGTCGTTATCAGTTTTACCAAAGCTTTTGACCCTGTAAACTGAGGTGTGCTGTGTAAAGTCTTGAAGAAACTTGGCATACCTGACATTATGTTAAGTATTAGCATTTCATTTCATAAAGGAATAAAAGCTTCTATCATTTCTGGTGTGGAACTTTCAGTCAGATTCTTCTGATGTAACCAGCAGTATGAAACATATTGTGTCATGGCTCCTCCTCATTTAGCTATTTTTCTTTAACATGCTTTAGAATACCTATGACAACTTGGAAAAGTTATAAAATTTGAATTTCATATAAATGGTAGTCTTTTTAACTAACAACATTTTAAATCCGAAACTTTGTCGAGGAACAGCATAATTTGTGATCATTTTGCTAATGATGATGAACTCCTAATAATGTTAGTCCGGGAAACCCAAGAATTGACTGACCACTTTTCACTTGCAAGCAAAACCTTTGGTCTAACTATTAGTATAAAAAGAAATGAAATTGTGCACCAATCAAAGTCTATACCTAAACAGATCAGGAAGTAAAACAAAAGAAACTCAGATATACCTATCACAATTGATGACAGCAGGAAATTAGGAAGCACTGTTAACTCCCATCTATCCCAAGATGATGAGATAGTTGACTGAATTTCAAAAGCAACTGAATCCTTGGAAAAGGGTCACCATCACCTTTAGAATGAAAGAGGAATATCTCTTAAAACCAAGATTATCATGAATCAAACCATTGATTTGACCACTCTCTCCTGTATGGAGCAGATTTTTTTTTTGATTCTGCATCAGATCCATATACCCATATTAATCTACTCTACATATTTCACAAACACTATCTTTGTTCTGTCTGTGGACACACATTTGCAGGTCAAAATCTCTAATTCTAATTTCCTTACCAAAAAATCAGAGGTATTAAAATCATTTTTAATGCAATTCCAAGATGGGCTGGTTTATGTTATCAGGATGAGTGATAACAAAATATCTAAGGTTAGCTTCATGGTGCTCATAAACATAGCCTGGTTACAATTCAAGAACAAGCTTAGATACATTTTTCAAACCATCAACAGCTCTCTGAAAGTAACTGCCATTGATTGTCCTGTATGGTTGAATATCTGCTAGAAAGGCATCAAAATTTGAAAAAAAAAAAAAAAAATTCATATCAGTCATCTGAGAAACTTGAGAGCTCTTCAAAAACTGAGACTAAGTATACCAGCCATATTGACATTGAGAGTATGTTAAATATTGTCATCTCATTTCATGAAGGAATGAAAGCTTCCATCATTTCTGATGTGGAACTTTTAGGTTCTTTTGATGTAACCAACAGTCTGAAACAAGGCATTAAATTTTAATTTTGCACAAGTGGTGACCATTTTAACTCTCAGCATTTGTCATAATACCATCAGCTGCTAAAGTTATGAACTGGTTTACAGATGCCCTACTGATATAAACGTAAGAATGAAATCATAATACTGTATGGTTTGAGATTCATCGAAATTAACAAGTGAGTCTGGTGAACACATGTCAGTACAGATGCAAAATAGGCCTTGGATTGCATGCAAATGTGTTTGTCAACACCAGTTACATCTAGGTTTTTTCTCATTAGTAGTGGGACAGTTTAGCATTTCTAGCTAGATACGGACTTCTCTGCAACTGGTCAAAATCCAGGTCTTTTTAAGACACCTCATGCCAATAAAAGCTGAGGGGAAACTGCAGTTGGCAGGTCCTGTGTCTTGTGAAGTTTTGTCTCATAGGCATTTTGTTTCTCAAGTTGCGGTGGTTTCTGAGGCAGTGTTATTTTCTGCTACCTCTCATCTCTTTCCCCTCTCTCTCTATTTTCCTAGTAGTTGCTGGAAGGCAATCAATTAGGTGTTTCCCCCAATCTCAACAGATTGCTTACATTACAACTAGCTATTTTGGCAAGTAAGTCAAAGCCTAGTGGTTTGTCATGCACCTTAAGGACATCAACCTTGGCTGAGTTGCTACTGTCTGTGCAGATATTAATGGTCTTGACACTACAGCATGCCTGTATTCTGTCACTGATCATCTCTACATCTATGGGAATAATAGTGGAACATCTCCCCATATGTGGATAGCTGCAAGTGGTGGGCAAACGTGCTTATAAAGAGAGGGGCCACCAGGTGAAATATACACAGACAATGACACCGTGTTCTCCAGCAGGGAGTTCCGGGCCTTTGCCCATTGATGGGACATGCATTTGCAATTCTAATGCACTGCATGTCCTGGCAAGAAATGGAATGACAGTGGTGTCACAGAAGTGTCAAGAGGATTGCAGCCAGGATGAAGTGTAGTGTTGAAGAGGCTACCTACTGGTATAATGTAACCCCCCAAAGATGACACCTCACCACTGACTGCACCTACAAATCAAGTCCACAGATATGAGGTTTGGCTTAAAGGGATTGATTCAGTACCTCCAATGATGTCTGAGATGGGTCACGATGTGAGTAAAGGCCCCATGCAACTGATGTACAATCCCTTTCAGAAAGGGGCGAATTACTGGACTTTTAATCTGCAATCAGTTTTAGTTGACAGAATGCCCTGCCATGTCAGGGACCTTCATCCTTCCCGGAGTTCACACTCTTCAACAAGTAGTAAAGATATGTGCAACAGTGAGGATGAAATCCTCATGAGCATGTATAGGCCAGATGTTCCTGTAGAGGAAGAATTACATGGGGACGAGGTGGAGAAACACAAGCCAGTCCCACTTCAGAGAAGCACTTGACGAAAGAGACTTGCTCTAAGCTGTTGTATCTGTGATCAGTGGGGGAATGTGGCAAATGCGTTTTAGTACAGATGCAAAGAAGGCCTCGGATTTATCCACATGTGTGTATAGGCCATTTTTACACCAAAGAGACTGAAATTTGTCAAAGGGGTACATCTTTTCAAGAGGAAACTCCTAGGAATTGACTTTTCCTGACTATATATGAGGTTTTTATCTCATTTTTTTCTGAACATTTGAAGGGCACTAACTCCTGTCTTTTTTTATAAAGAACAGTAACTCTGTTCTATCATTCAGAAAAAAATTGACATACCCAGTCATACATCTCTTTCTTTTTCAGAAATTGGAAACAAATTGTTTTTGCAAACTGCAATAGAAGTTGGAAAACATTATTTAGGAAAAAGGTCATGCACATAAACAGAATAAAATATACATTTTTTTTTTTAATTATTTTTATTTATTTATTTTTTTTTTTTCGAAAGAAATGTATTTTATCATCAGCTTTTGATCACAAAATTTCACCCAACCATCCTCCAGTATTTATTGACTTACTTTGTACCCCCATGCATTCTAGGTCCTATATTTATTTACATTTGTTTTAGAAATTTTTATAAAGGTAAAATAAAACTATTTTCTCAATTTCTTAGAAGCAACAATTGATAGAATCAACATTTCAGGCCCAAGTGAAGATTGTCAACATGTTTTTAGAGCAGTTTATATAATGTATTGTAGTCAGTTTCTTCTGGCTTGTAATAAATTTCCTTAATCCATTTAATTCTGTCAACATAAGTCAAACAATCCAACAACATGTGTCTCCTGTTTGCCACCGGAGTTGCACTTCCCTCTCTGTCACCTCTTTGTGCACTTTTTATAGATTGAATGACAACTAAAATTTGCATATGTTAACAGATTCTCACAAAAGTCTGTCTGACTCTAAGATCTAGCTCTTTTAAATGTACAAATCGTGAAACTGACATTTTCTTTTTGGGAATATTTTACATGTGTGACATCCAAATCTGTTTTTGTCCTGGAGGTAAGCCATTTTCTCTAGTGTTACAAGTATATTGAACTACATAATTGCATTTATTTTAGGCATTTATAAACCTGGACAAAGCCAGATACTTCTTCTGGTTTTCATTTTTTTTTTTTATAATCATCCTTAAACTTGATCAACTGTTTTGATTTCATGTCCTTTAGTCAAAGCTATGTTGACATCTTTTTATAATATAGGTCAAGGAACCAAACGGATTTATCCCCCTTTTTCAAACAATAGTTAACATGTTGACTTCCAGAAGTCAATGACAAAATCTGACTTCAAATACTAACATTATAATAGCTGACTTAGGCAGTAAAATATTTTTATAAGTTGATTTATAGTTTCAACTAAAGTTTTAATATTGTTTTCACCCTAACAGTATCTTTGTGAATACACTCGCTGGTGCTTGCAGATGAAGATGTATCAGAAAATGCTAAGCATTTGATAGCTCATAGTCAGTGTCATAAAAACTACCAACCATAAGTTATTTTGTGGTTGGCAGTTAACGTATTAAGAGAAGATTGCTGATTTCTGTAGTACCATGAAATTATTGATGAAAGCTCCACTATCTATACTTACGGACAAATGATCAGATTCCATTCAAATAGGCTTCAGAAAAAGATTTATTGAAATAAGAATTCCTAATTAACAATTAGTATTTAAAATGTAAAATTTACAATAAAGATCACAGATTCAATGGGAAATATAGACAATGTTGGTAATAAAATAAAGAATAACTTTTAGTATTTGTCCAGAAAATATAATTAACTTACAAAGTACATTAATAGTTTAAATAAATGTTCCTGTTTTAGGTTTATTGATATGAATTAAACTGCAGTGATCCTCAAAATAAATAGGTGCATCATTTAGCCATATGGATCTGACAAATAATCTGAAGATTTCAGTGTTGTTATGCTGTTTTCATTGGCTTCGATGTAACTTCCTGTTAACCAAATATAAGAATGAATTAAATGTTGGAAAAATAAATAAAAATTTCAATTTAGTTTTTTTGAACATGGGTTCACAAAACAAGGGAGATAATTCGTGATTAGACTACTGCTAAAATCTTAAAACCTTAAACTACTTCCACATTTCCTATATTTTTTGATAATTACTGGTAGTTGTTTGAATTTATTGTACTTTCCAAAACCTATTTATCATTCTTAGCATGTCAGAATATGTTAGAGTGAGGCTAATTCGTTTTAAGTGGCATTTTGTTTTAAAAGAAAACATGCTATTGTTTTGTCATTGCTCTCTAAAATCCTTAGAGATGAAATCACAATACATTGACCAGTTTGTCAACAATTATCATCGCTCATAAAATTGTATAGTCCCTGATTTTTTTTTTAATATAAATAACAAAGAATAAACTGTTGTATGTGAAAGATCTCTAACACTAAGGCAAGTAAGCTAAAATAATTTGTTTTCGGTCTTTCAGGATCCTTGCTGTACCCATTGCATTTCGGTGCCTGAGTAAAACTGACTCTGACCAACTTGTTCTTGTTGGTCATCCACACATTCTTTATCTGCCTAACAATATCAGTGGAAATGTCTTATACTCTTGTGTTGACCAAGTTGTTCCTGCTCTGCTTGAATATACCATTGTCTACACTACAGAAGAGGTTTGCTTTTTTATTATCTTGGATTTTTCTCTGTCAGTTAAAAAAGTGTCTCATTTTTTCATGATTAAAGATAAGAAGAATTTTTACATTAATAAATTGTACTGGGTCATTACCTCTAATAATACTGTATAATGTTTATAATTGTGGAATAATTGGCCATGGTTAAGTGTAATTGATAAAATTCTCACCAAACTGAATTGACAATATTATCAATAAACAATAATAAAAAAAGACAAAATCATGCAAGACATAATGCAAGTCCAAAGAAAAGCAACTATAAACCAGTAATAAAGCAAAACGTTCACAGTGGAGGAATAGTGTTCAGACATGAAAGGGATGCAGTCAAGTAGTTATAGCATTCTGATTTCAAGGCAAGAAAGAATAAAAATTTGGGAATAAGACTGAGAATTATCCATTTTTATTGTTTAGAAAGAAATCCCAGCATGCATTTGTAGGATTCGTCTATAAATTTGGGGAGAGGAGATTTTTAGCAGTCATTCCTAGCAATTGTAACCAATAACAATCAAAACAGAAATTTTTTTATTTTTAGTCATTTCACCCCAGGCAAAAAAAAATGTGCAGTGGTGAAAACCCATTTGTAAATTTCTTTTATTCTTTTTTGAATAATAATTCTAGTTTTAACAAATAAGTTTAACTTTTGCAGCATTTGAATGAGATTTTATTGTCTCAAAGTTCAGCATGGTTTTGAACAAATTAATAATTATGTTTTTTGAAAATTCTCAACGCCTTGATTGCTATGCCTAGGACAAGACTACAAATATGAGTTACCTATATGCTTTACTTGACCTGTTTTATATTTCCACAAAGAAAAAACAAATTTTAAATATCACAATCTTATAGAAAAGGAGGCATTACTGGAATGTTGGAAAAAGACTAAAGAAAGAGAATGTTATAAAAAAAATTCATGTTTTTAATACGAAATTATTATATTTTAAGGGTTTGCAATGTTCTCGGTGTCCCAGTTTCAACCAGTGTCATGGCTGCATTGTCCAACGTATGGGTCGAATAACTCTGCAGCCTGGGGACCACTTGACTGTGATGCTGAACAATATTTCAACCAAGCAACTTGATGAACTCATGCAGCAGTATGTCATTGATCATGATTCAATGGAGAATTTACGACCAGACACACCCATGAGCATCTATGATTGTTTCAGGGCTTTTATGCAAAGGTAAGAATAAAACAAGATCGACTATCAAGCTGGACATGTTTTCTGCTAGCCTTATTAAATATTTGTCTTATTAGCCTTATTAAATATTTGTCATCTTACAAAAGTGTTAATATTCAGAAATGCCAGAATAAACCAATGGAAAAGTAATAACAAAAACAGGAAGATGGAAAAGACATTGAAAACATCTCTCTTGATATTGGTTTTTAATTTCTACTTGAAATGTATTGACTGTAGCAGTTACTGGATACTTCAAAAATATTCCTTAGATTTCAAATTGTCTACAAAAAAACAAAGGATTAACATACCATCATAAAACAGATACTGGTTTTTGGTTTTTGGTTTTGTTTTTTTTTTTTTTTTTTTTTTTTTTTTTTTTTTTTGGGGGGGTTGGGTTTTTTATTTTTTTGGTTTTTGTTGTTTTTTTTTGGTTTTTGTTGGTTTTTTTTTGGTTTTTGTTGTTTTTTTGTTGTTTTTTTGTTGGTTTTTGTTGTTTTTTTGTTGGTTTTTGTTGTTTTTTTGTTGGTTTTTGTTGTTTTTTTGTTGGTTTTGGTTGTTTTTTGTTGGTTTTGGTTGTTTTTTGTTGGTTTTGGTTGTTTTTTGTTGGTTTTGGTTGTTTTTTGGTTTCTGTTGTTTTTCTTTTGGTTTTTGGTTTTGTTTTTTTTGTTTTGGTTTTGTTTTTTTTTTTTGTTTTGTTTTTTTTTTTTGGTTTTTTTTTTTTTGTTTTTGGTTTTGTTTTTTTTTTTTTTGTTTTTTTGGTTTTTGTTTTTTTTGGTTTTTGTTTTTTTTTTGGTTTTTTTTTTTTTGGTTTTGTTTTTTTTTGGTTTTTTTTTTTTGGTTTTTGTTTTTTTTGGTTTTTGTTTTTTTTGGTTTTTGTTTTTTTTGGTTTTTGTTTTTTGGTTTTTTTTTTTTTGGTTTTTGTTTTTTTTTTTTTTGTTTTTTTTTTGTTTTTGTTTTTTTCAGTTATAGAAGATACAATGGTTTTCACTGGTGCAAAGAAATTATTTAAAAATATGTAAAGATAAAAGAATTGTTTATTTTTCTTCATATACTAGGTTCTCACTGCCTTCACAAAAAGAAAAGAAAAAAAAACATTTATTTGAAAAAAAAAAAAAAAAAATTCTTGAAATCTTATATTTGAAGTTGTAGAAAACCCCATTGATAGCTTCCTGTGAGTGTTTGAGTTTGGTTCTTAAACCAATCAATCTGTCATCATGTACTGAATTTAATTTTTATAGTTAATTACATTTTATGCTGTTCTTTAGTTCATTTATTGATTCTCAATATTTCTTCAATTCCAGATGCTTAAATTTAATAACAAAAGTTGTGTATTTATGATTGGAGTGCATATTTTAAAATCTTTGTCACATATGAACGATTAATGTTTATTTATATAGTGTTTGATAGATTTTAATATTACATTAGTCTATTTGAAACTTTACAATTGTGGTAAATATCTGTAATGAGTCTTGAACAAGTCAAAGTCCTCAAGTTATTCTGCTGCTCATCTGTGTGGCTCACTTTTTATTCAGGTCTTTGACCACACATGCAAATTATCAATAGTTTTAAAAGATCTAAAACCACCTATGCACTTTGACTAAATTGCAAAGACATCATCAAAATTTCTTGCTACCATTTTACCTCACTCTCCACAGATTTTATGAAAAAAAAAAAGAAAAAAAAAAGAAGGTACAGCTGGGCACAGGATGCTTCTGACACATACTATTTCTAATGGGGACAGCTTCCGTTTGGTTGTCTGGGAGTTTGTGAGGTGCTCTCATATCACCCACCTGATGGTTGGTGACAGGGAGACTGCATGGTACAACTGGTTCATCTGCAGTTGGTAGATGAAATTTAATGGATTCTGGCACTTTCCTTTGAGCTGCTCTCATTTCCTGATGATTATGACTCTAGGAAGTGATACATGTATTTTACATGTCATGGAACTCTATCAACTTCTGCTGACTGTTGAATCCGATCATATGGCTCACTTTGAATCTTGTAGTGGATCTACCATTTGGAACCATGACCCAGACACAATCCCCCACCTTGTACATTCCTCATTTGTCCTGCAGTTTGGGTGAGTGGACAGCATCAATTCCCTTGATTCTAATATGGCATTTGTGCATCATGTCTGCCAGTGCTGACAAAGACAAAACACTGTCCTTGGGTATCTCATTGTGCCAGTACACTGCTTCTTGTATAGTGCTTTGCTCAATTCCCAGCCAGGGTGTAGGCACATTGGAACTACAGTTGCACACCTCAATCTTTTTGCAAGTTTCTGAAGCTCAAGCAAATGAAGGTAGTGTTGTTGTCAGTTAAAATTTTGTTTGGTGGACCCAACTAACAAAAAACAGTTTCCAACTGATGAATCCCACTGGCTGAATACTGGTGTTGAATGAACTGTGATATTGTAAATCAGGATGGTCCACAATCTATGAGGGTTAAGAAGTGTCCACCAACATAGTGGGTAATATCTATTCCCAACTGGTTCCAATTGCGACCCACATCCAATTTTGACCCTCTTCCAGTGCACTGGTGCTGGATCTATTGATTGACATTGCTTACAAGATTTTATTACAAATCTTACAGATGCCTTGGATCTCTTTTTTGATGGTATATAAAACTCTCCCCTCATATTTTTTTCTAAAACTAATGGCTCATAAAATGTCTCCTTGCAGTATCTACTAAATAAATGCTTATCCAAATAATGTAGATTACTGTATCAAGCGCAGCTCCATAATACTGTAATATAGAATGTAAATAGTGGGATATAATATCCAATTAATACTGTACTTCTTAACAAACAGTTGTAATCAATTTTTATCATTTTCAATTTGTCAGTATCATTTCCAGAACATGAATTCTTTTAGTTCAAATTAATATTGCTATTTTTTTAACCAAATAATATTGATTATCTCTGAGCATGTATTTTTTTCATTTTTTTTTTTTTAATTTAAATTTGTTTTTGTGCATTTGTGATGTAATTTTCTTTTTTTTTTAAACCAGTGAGACCCTTGATGAACATAATCCATGGTTCTGTCCCAGTTGCTGCAAGAACTGTCGTGCCAAGAAAACAATGACTGTTTGGAGATACCCAGATAACCTAATTATCTATTTGAAAAGGTGAGCAATTTTGTAATAGATATTGTTATTCTTGCACAATTGTAAATGAGAAGGGATTGTTTTTTTTTTTATAAAATCCTCAGGTCTATCTTTTAAGAATTTGCTTACCTGGTTTTCCAAAAAGTCAAAACAAAAAGACTTTTCAACTAAATATTTTTTATTTTTTTCAAGTGACAAAACAGGAAAATTGAGCTAAAAGTTATCTTATTACCTATTTCTCTTCGGCTCTTAATGGTGGCACAAGAAGTTAAGATTTTGGTGTCTTTTTCTCTATAAGCTTTTATTCTCTGCCCATCACATATACAAAATGTTTAGTACATTTTACATATTTCTTAGTCAAAATATAATAAACATCTTTAGACAAAATCCTTTGATTACTAACATGTCTTCACTGTTAGGTGTATAAAAATTCTAACCATGAATACTATTTGTACAATCATTATAAAAGCCAAGCCAACATGTATACATTCCCTTTAGAATTACTGGGTTACATTAATAAATACTTTCACTGTCACTTTTTTAAGCATAAACTACAAAAAGACAGAATGCACAGCTATACTTATACTGACATTACAAACTTGAAAGCAAAGGCTAAACTGGGATATTGGTTAATTTAGGATGAATTAAAGATGTGCTGCCTTCCTTTTGAAATAAATTTAATTAATAATCTGATTTTGTAAAATTGTATATCTTTTAGGTTTGTCTTTCATGAGCTAACCAGTACAAAGATTGATAATTTGGTATCATTTCCTCTGGAACATTTGGATTTAAGTGAATTTAGTTCTGGACCCAGAACTAAACATTTGATTTATGATCTTCACAGCATTGTCTGCCATTTTGGAGGTAAGTAACAATTTGCAAACTTTAGATACATTTTCTTGCTTCATTTTCAACTGTATATAGTACTTAATTCCTATTTCATTTTCATTCAGTTTTGTGTGAATTAAATGAGAACTGGTTTGCAAAATGTTTTACTCATTCATTTTAAGGAAATTTTGTGTGATTTTTGTCTTTTACTAAAACCTCAACTTCAAATGAAATATTTTTGTAAATATGAATCGAAAATTCAGAACTCTTTTTATTTCACGAGTGATTTTTATCTAGTTGTAGCAAATGCTGTTTATATATTTTTTGATTAATTTTACACACTATTTAATTGGAATAAATATGTATGAAATTTCTTAGAACAGTTTATAGTGGCTGGTGGAGAGCATGGAATGTCCTTTTTTTAAAAGATGTAAATGTAATAACAGCCTTAAAAGAATTTATTGAATCCAAGGGCCATAGATTAAGCTTTAGCCCTTAAGGATTTTTTTTTTTTTTACTTTTTTAAAATTTATTCAATTTTATGTTATTTTTTTATTGAATTCATACAATTTGTATATACAGAAAATATATATATTTTTTGTTTGTCTTTTCATTAAAAAAAAAAAAATTAGGTAGAACCTAACACCTAGAAGATTATCCTGGCTCATTCATGATTCCTTGAATTTTTAATTCAGTGCATGGTATATCTTTCCAATTTGTAACAGTTTGAGAAAGTTTTTATTTTTTCAGACATAATCTAACAGTTCTTCAAAGTAGAGAGTGAAAGAGGTCATTTAGTCACTGATATTGACACTAGAATGAAAGTGTAGTAGGCATGGTTGTAATTTGTCCACAATTCATTTTACACTATTGTCAGAATGAAAAATGGAGTCACATTTATTGTTTGAAGAAGAATATTCAGTATGGCCTACTGAATTACTTTAGAGTGACTTTAAGTGTCTCCATTATGAAACTTAAGTTCTGATTCACTATCTGATAAATTGCTAGTCTTACTTTTTCAGACATTATATATAAGCAAAACTTCAGTAGATGAAAAAATTAATAGTAACAAACTGCAATGAATAAAAAATAAAAATATACATGATCTGCTGCAAAATCTTTCACATCACTAAATTACTATATAAAAGAAAAAAAAAAGAAAAGAAAACCCCTACTAAATGCATTATGTAGATGAATATTTTTATTTATCATTCATAATAGACAATGAAGTAAGAATTTACATGCGGCATCTTATTTTTGCATCAAAAAAAAGTTTTTTTTTTTTTTTTTTTTTTTTTTTTATAGAGAAGTTTTAGCTTAAAATGTTTCTAGTGTATAGAGATTAACAAAGAATAATCTATATAATCCATTAAGAGGATGAAAGCATCCCATTAGAAGAAAGAAATGCAGGCAACATAGAATTTTAATAATTTACTTCTTTTTGTCACTTGTAACAGGTTCCAATTCCGGCCACTATACTTGTTATGCTAAGCATCCCAAAGAAGACGTTTGGTACTACTATAATGATGAGACAGTTTGTCAGCAAGTGCCCAGAGATGACCATATGAGTAGTGCTTATGTTCTGTTTTATGTACGACAAGGTAAATGTCAAATATTGCCTCCTATATTGTTTAAATATCTGTCAATGTCATAATTTGATTTATCTCTGCTTTAAAGCTTTTTTGTATAAATTTTATTTTTGTCTTTGTTTTATTTTTTTCAAACCCATTGAATTATTAAGTTACCAAATTGTAATTGTTTTCTATGTTTAAGTAATTCACAAGATGCCTTTGTAGATTTCTGTTCGGAAAGATAATACTGGTATACTAATGGCATCTCTTTCCTACCACATTATCATTTGATTTTATGGCAGTTGTACTATTCTGATAAAAACAATGTTTTACTGCTGTTGGAATTTTGACTTTCAATAGACTTTATCTTGATAATAACCCAGCAAAATTTTTTTATCATCTTCACCTTGAAGTAGATATATGTATTTTAAACACTTTTTGTTTGGTTTCCCTTTTTTCATTAGAATATGTTTCAGGAAAGCTAGCATATTATAGCGAAGAAAATGGCGACTTACCTCATCAAACCAAGCGACAGCGCGTCGCATGTATCCTACGATGGAAAAGAAAATTACTTACCAAAAAAAGGGGCACGTATTCTGCATGACATGCTGAAGACGGAATATTCAGATTAAAAACAAGTCCATCACAGGAGTCTCTATAAAAGTATTTTGTTATGCAAAATACTTGGCATCCTCTCCCAGTTGTCAACGAATGAAAAAACTGCTCAGCCAATAAAAACAGTTGGTGTTCTCGAATTGAGAGGAAAAACTGATGTATTTTGGCTACCGCGTTCATCAGCGAGTTAGTTATTTTTCTCACTGGTTATGTGCATTGGGATTTGTGAGATAGTACCTCCAAATCGAGTTTTCGGCATTTCTTTCCGCCCCCAATATTCGAGTCTGAACTTACAGTGATTTGTTCTCTGCGTTGTGGAATTAATCTGCAACAAACATTTCCTTTGCTTTCAGAACGCTTACACATATTTAGATGTCAAATATTTTTTTGTATCTTTATATGCTGTGTCCCTTCAGGACGTAGGTGATCATGGCCCTCCACCTCCTCCTGTCCCTTGTATCTCTTAATAAGTTTTATCTTTTTGTTATTTCTCCTAGAGCCTGTTTTTGCAATCCACTTGCTCAAGCCCATTAAGTATGTCATGCATTGCTTTCCCCTGTCCCTTTTTCCCTCTATCCATCCTGTGAGTATCAGGTTTTCTAAGCCCTCTTTTCTCATTATGTGTCCCAGAAATTTCAGCTACCTCTTCCTGATGTTAAGTATAAGTTTCCTATTTGTTTCTATTCTCTCCAAAACTTTGTTGTTGCTCACATGTTTGGCCCATGGTATCCTTAGCATCCTACTGTAGAACCACATTTCTGTTGCTTTGAGTCCCTTCATCTTTGAGGAGATTGTTCAGGATTCACTGCTATGCAGGAGAACAGATATGTAACAGTTCAGTACTCTTTTCTTTGTTTCCAATAAAACTTTCCTGTCTTGTAATACTTTGCTTAGCTTTTTTGAATGTGTCTTTGGTCATCTCAATATGTCTTTGGATTTCGGTGTTACACTTTCCGTCCTCTGTTAGAACACTTCCCAGATATTTAAATTTCTGTAACTGCTTGATTTTAGTGCTTGCAACTTGTAAATTGCATTTTGGGCCATTTTTTTTTTTTTTTTTTTTTTGCTAATGACTGTGCATTCTGTCTTTTTGTAGTTTATGCTTAATCCCTTCTTCTTGCTCTTCTTTGCTATCTTCTGTAAGAGGTTTTGTAGTTTCCTTTCTGTCTGCTATCAGCACTGTCACTTGCATATCTTATGTTATTAAGATTGTGGCTGCCAATGATAAATTCTGGTAAGATTTCTAGTACTCTCAGAACTGCCTCTGTATAGGTTGAATAAGTCTGGTGAGAAGACACATCCTTGCCTTACACCCCTTTGTATTTTTGTATATCTGCTGAACTCCTTTTTCATCCTTATATAAGTGGTTTGCTGCTAGTGGAAATTTTTGATTATCTAATGTCTTTTCTGAATATGTCAAGGTTGCTGAGCATCTCTAACAGCTCTTTGTGCCATACTTTGTCAAACGCCTTTGTGTAGTCTATAAAACACAGGTACACGTTCTTCTGCATTTGTATTGTTCTTTCTGATAATATTCTGAGCATAAATATCGCGTTCCTTGTTCCATTGTTTTTAATGAACCCGCACTGTTCTTGTCCTATCTCTGGCCCGATTCTGCTGTGTGCTCTATTCATCAGAATTTGGATGATAAGTTTTGTTATGTGGCTCATTAGGCTGATTGTTCAAAGGAGTTCACATTTGTTTTCACCTGGTTTCTTAGGCAGTGCCATGAAAATAGATCTGCTTAGGTCTTCTAGTATATCACCACTGTTGTAGATTTATTATTTCTGTAATCTTGTCTATACTGAAATCATCTAAGGCTGCCCGCATCTCTGTTACAATTCTGTCTGGCCCTGTCGCTTTGTTTCTGCTCAATTTGGCCAGTGCAGTTTCCACTTTGGATTTTTAGTATTTCTGGTCTATTTCTGTGTATTACTGGTTGTTTTCTTTCATCATGGAAGAGATCTCCAATATATTTGTTCCAGTGCTGAAGAAATTTTTCTTTCTCTAATATGAGCATTCTGTCTTTGGATTTTATGCAGCCTGTTGATGAACATGTCTTCTGTCCTGTTAGTTCCCTTAATTTTTATGCATATCTCACTTATCTGTGATACTCATTCTCTCTATTTGTGCACATTTTTTTCATTAGGCCATTCTTCTTTAGTCTGCTTGCATTTCTTCCTTATTTCATTGTGTGTTTTTCTGTATTCCTTTCCATGTCTTGATATTGTTTTCCGTCTCCTTTGCATCATGTCAATAATCTGATCTGTGACCTATTCATTTTTCTCTTCATTCTCCTTTGAGATAATATCGTTTGCTGATATCAATAAAGCTTCTCTTAGTCTGTCCCATTTCAAATTTCTATTTTCATTTTGTCTCTCGTATCTTTTCACACTTTCCATTTATTTTACCTTCAGGTTTGGGTTGTCCAGGAGTCTGTTGCATTGCAATTTGGGTGCTGCATTAGGCTTCTTCAGTTTCTGTAGTTTCACTCTTAGTTTACATGTAACAGGGAGGTGGTTGTTTCCGCAGTCGGCATTTGGATAGGTTTTGCAGTGAATTTCTGAATCTTTTATTGATGGTTATGTAGTCATTTTGGTTTTAGTTTCTCCTCCTGGGTTTCTCAATGTCCATAATCATCTTGGATAGTCTTGGAACCAAGTGTTGGCCATTACCTGGTCATTGGCAGTGCACCATTGAACCCATTTTTCTCCATGTTTTTGCAGGTTCCTAGTCAAAATTTGCTAGCTATCTCTCCTACCCTACTTTGGCATTCATGTCTCCCATGATAATTATGACTTCTTGTGATTTGCAGTGAGCTTTGATATTACCTAGCATGGAGTAGAATGATTGGATTTCTTCTTCCGTACTTTGTGTTGTCAGTGCATATAAATTTAAAAAGAAAATTTTCTAATTGTATATGAAATAAAACGAATTATGTCCCTTAGTATGGAAGAAGGCATAAAATACTTGCTTATTCAGATTTGGCATATTTTCATCTGGATGACAACATATATCTTTAATAATAAGTCCCTCCCAAAATATCTTATTAAAAAAATAAGCCCGAAGATATTTCTCAAATATAATAGACCATTTATCTTACCAAATATTTCACATTTCATTCCTCACAACCCCAATACATTTTATATAAAGGTTATTAAAACAACAAGATATTTATTCTTATATCTTATTTAAAATGGATGCTAGATGCTGAGATTTGCATGAATATTTTTATTAGGATGAAGTAGTACTTGCTTTCAGCATATAGGGTTTGTACAAGTCCTGGGAAATTGATAGGGTCTTTCCCAGGGTTTGGAAAAACACCAAATTTGTGAACTTAATTAAAAAAACAAAATATGTCCCCAGACAAAGTCCTTTTCTGCAGTGCTTCCAAGCGTGAATAATGTTTTATTCTCAATGAAAATGTAGATTTTTGTGTTTATTTCAAAAGACATTGAACTGCTTCTGATAAAATATCAGAACAATAAACCATTGCTTCCTTTCCTTGCAGATGATCTTTTTAGCATGATCATGAAACTGTTAAGAAGATATGTAAAGGAAGAGCATACTAAAAAGATAATTACATTTTCCAAACTGAATGAATTTGTAAGAATTTTGTCAAACCCAAACATGCATAAAGATACTGCAATGATGGAGTATAGATTTCTAACAGCTCCATGCAAAATTTATCCAAAAAGGGAAATGTGTCAACAAAAGATCTGTTTGCATGTAGAATTGCAACAAAGACAATATTCATTGCCATCATTGAAAAACTTCTGGCAAATTCTTCTCTTAGATACCCTTTTGTAAGGTCACTTGCATAGCTGAACCCTGGAAGAAAAATTTGCCATAAAAGACAGTCTAAAAAGATGTCTTTCTCACAAGATGGACAGAAAACAAGTCAGCAAATCTGATTGTGATCAGTCAGCACAGAGTTCAAGGAGGAGGCTGCTGGAAATATTGCTTTCAAAAATTTCAGCAAGCATGAAGACTCTTTGGACACTTTGTTTTACTCCTCTTTGTCTAGCAATAAAGAATATTAAAAACTGGAAAATTATTTGCAAATTGCTGGTACTCTCTCATAAGATTTTTCAGTTAAAGAAATTTTCACTGACAATATGAAACAACAGGCCTTGGTTGAACAACACATTATCATGGACTATTTGGCCACAATTGAAAGTGATGGGAATGTTCCTATGACTAAGGTTCTTCTCTGCAGTGCTTCCAATGCCAGAACAGCATACAACAAATACCTTGAGGTTGACAAGAAAAAAAAATGCAGGAAGAATCAGTTGAACAAAAACAGAATCCATTCTTATGAAAATTAAAGAACTGAAGACCAAAAAACACAAGATTGAAAGTTGCACACAGGATTTGCTCAAGTCAGTTGACAACTATGTGGAGAAAGCTGAGCAGACTCAGAACTTTGCACTTATCACAAAGTCCAATGCCATGTGAAGATTTGACAAGTCCAAAGGGATATCAAAATTGGAAGAGGAGCTGAATGCTCAACTAGATGAACTGAAAAAATGTTAATATCATTGGGTGCTGTGCCATGTACAACAAAAGCCATGAGTAGTAGGGGTAGGTAAAATGTGTAGTTTTTTGTGAAAATTTCTATTTGTAGTTCATTAAAACCACTATACATCGCAGGAAATGCGCAACAGTCAAGGATTTTTGTGGCATTCACAAACCATGACTAGTTGAGATAGCTGAAATATGTAACAGTAATAATTAAAGTGTGTAATTCAAAGTTTTCAAGTGTAGTAGAACTCCAAACTGTACAATTCTACAGAAAATGTAACATAACCAGGTCTGCATTCAGTTGTGTCTTAACTTTCAATACTTTGATTTCTTGACTGCTTTCAACTGATCCATATGACATGAGTTATTGGAACCAGCTGTCAAACTATTAAAAGATAAATTACAAAGTTTGTGTTTTTGAAATTGATGACTATTCACTTTGTATGTGTGTGTTCGTGCACTAGTTTCAGTCTTTGAAACTTCTTAACCTAGTCCTGGTATTTTTTTTTTTTTTTTAGAGAGATCTATGGGAACCTATACTGCATACCTATATTTTATCTTTAAAAAATAATGGCCTCTCGAATATAAGTGTGACAGTATACATTGCTCTACCAGGTGATGTTTACATATGTGAGGCAGGTTCTGGCAAATATTACATTTTTTTTTTCAATTATTGTTTTATTTATTTTTAAATATCTCACTGGTATGTTGATCAGCCTTTAAAATGCAAGACAAATTCAGAGCAAATATGTAGAGCCTCATACAGGCCTTGAATTTAAATCCTCTACAATGGGATCTTGCTACAGCAATACCATGTGACATAATAAAAGTCTTTATATTTAAGAAAGTCAGACAAATTCTGTTCCTATATGATCATTTCCTTTTCTCCCATTATATGGCAGTAGCATTTAATGCTATTAATTCTCTCCAGAGCCTTACTATAGAGGCAGTACTTACTGTCTGTGAGTAGTGTAACAGTATTGTATAATTATTTTTATACTAATTTGATACATTTATTTTGGCACTTGGCTGATGGCATACAACTGTTTTAACTTGAATTTCTAGTGTTGTAGTAAATTTCACTGTTAAACATGTCTCTTGTCTTAGTTTGATAACTACCTACCACAGGATTTCACATGTGACAGATTGAGAAGGTGCTGGTAAGTGTGGTAATGGATAATGACACCTCATTATATGGCAAACTTGGACCTTCATGCCCACAAAAAGTGTCAAAAGGATGTTTTTTCTATTGGCACTGCTGTCATTTTAATTAACTTCACTCCTTGGTCTATTTTTTTTTTTTTTTAAGTTATGATTAGTATTATAATAAAATCTAAACATACAATGAAAGTGAATTTATAGATTTTTTTTTTTATTTTTGAGAATTTACAACAAAAATATAAAACACTATTATTTATTTACAAGAATCTTATATTTATAACTTTCTAAAAACTAATACAATGCAGCATTTATCATTTGCCAATTTATAAAGGAATGAAAATAAAAACAAATTTTCATTTATAAAAACAAATTTTCATTTATAAAAATTTACTAAATTATTAAAATATGTGAACCAACTGAAAGGAAAAACTTATTATTTACCATTTTATAAAGTTCAAATCAATGGGCAATTAGTCGATGTTTTGCCAACTATTTCAATAAATATAGTGTTTATTATTTTTGTTGGCCATAATCAAGAACAAAGAAAAGGCATAAATTCACTTTCATATGTTTACGTTTTATTACAATTCTAATCATAAACATTGCTGATGAGTGAAGTTAGTTAAAAATAGTAGCAATGGAAAAACCGTCCTTTTGATACTCCATTTTTAAAAATTTTTTTTTATTTATTTATTTTTTTTTTTGTTGCTTGCATAAAGGTTCAAGATTGACCAACAATGATTTAACTTGTTTATATCATCATACAAGAAAATTAACAGAAAATCTCAAATGTGATACTACAGTGAAAGAAAGTGTCAGGCAAGATGGGTGTTACCGGTGTGGCAATAGAAATGCATACATTGCGATTAGAAGGATGGAGAAATGAAGTTTAGTTTTAATGTTTGACTTTCCAACAGGAACTTATGGGAACTTTCATAATTTCCTGATAATTTTTATAAAAGAAATACATTTAGACAAAGTTGTTCTTGTCAACAGATGTATCTACTTGACAGAAAAAAAACTAATTACTGTTTTATATATTTCCTCTACAAAAAAAAACATTTTACAACAGAATTAGACAACAATGCTCTAATGACAGGCTTTTTTTACTGCTACCATTGCCAGTGGAAATATGCAGGCGCTCTTGAGTTTTAAACTTGTCTTTATTTCCTGCCTTGGTGCTAAAAATTAGATCATATGGCTAAAACTTGCAACTTGTGAATACTGTTTCATCATAGATTATTTGAAATAGATGGTGATTTTAACATTACACAATGATAACTTTGTCAACCTGATTCACGCTGTTCTTTGCTTTGTGTTTTCAGGTACAGATGTTTCCTTCCAGGTTCCTGACAAAGCCAGCTACCAGTTTCTCGATAGTGGCTTAAACAACAGCCCAACTTACAATAACGCAACTACACAAAAGCCACTAAACTCTGGATATGCCAAAGGAAGTGATCAGTCAATGGCCTTAGTACTTTATCAACCTCAGCCCCTTCCTACACAAACCTCCACAGCTTCTCCAACATCATCTTCATCTTCATCATTGTTGTCCTGCCAGAGAGTTGTTGAATCTTCAAACTGCAGTGCCAAAACTTCCAGCCCTGGTCCTGCAGAATCTACCAGCACTGCCTCTGAACAAGTTGAGCCTGATAGCACATATGATTTTTATTCTTAATTGTTTTTTTATTTTTTTTATTGTTTGATTGGGGTCCTACTTTGAAAGTGCTGTATACCAAGGAGGACCTTGAGTGGGTGTACTAGTCACAGATTTTGAGATGGCTATAAGCACATCTTTCACTCACTTCCCTTTCTCTCTCTCTCTCTCTCTCTCTATCACACACACACACACACACACACACACACGGGTGAGTTGGCTCAACTGGTCATGATATAAATTCTTCCACTGACCATGATCTTGGATGGTTAGCTCAGCTTCATGCTTAGATATGACCAGTGATGCCTTGGACCATTTCCCACCTTCTAGCCACTATAATCAATACTTTTGTGTATTTCTAATATAGAAAAAGATTAAAAATAAAAGGTGTGAATTGTATTAAGGCACATCTATGTGTATGTGTACATCTATGTCTATTATATTTCCAAGCTAAAAAAATGGAAACACTTAAAGATATATTTGCACACAAATACTATTTCTATAGAATCAGATAAAGACACAGAATGGTTTCTATGCACAAGTGTGTGTGTGTGTATGTATACATACATTTGCACACATGCATACATATGTTCACACATATGCTAAATGTATATACATACACAAAAGAATACACACATACATATGTATGTATGCCTTTTTTTATACACCCAGATATACATGTGATATCCGTTAATTCACATTTACTCTTCAAATAGAACAAATGGTTTTCAGCTTAAATATTTATCTACATATTTATTCATTTTTTTGTTTGTACTTGTGACAATGACATTGACTATCTGATTGGTTGATGGTGTTTGGGCTAATGACACCAGTGGATAGTCAATTTGATGTCATTTGTACTTTTCCCAGTTGACAGTAGCTCTTGCTTCTTTGGTTCTACTTTCAATGACCTCTGGTCTTTTCACCTTGACAGCAGTTGATGTAACATTGTTGTTTTTGTTTTTCCAACTGTGTTGACAAAATACAAGCCACATTTGACTTCATTTGTTGTCAGAAGTTTTGCTGCCTTTTAATCCTACTTTCCTTGATTTACTCAATTGTAAGGTGTTTTGCTCATTAGATTCTCTTCTGCTGTTGGTGGGAGTTACTGTCAAAAGTTGTCTGTGATTAGACTGAACTGTGATGATGACTACTGTCCAAAACAGAGATGAAGTCCTAAATCATTCTAGGTGTGGCCAACTGCAATTAATCATGGCCATAGTCAGAGTTGTCTGTGATTGGACTGTGTTAATGGCTAATTTTAAAACTGATATTGTCTGTAACTGGAGGACTATTGAAAGGACATTGACTCTTTAAAAATAATGATAATTACTGTATGTAGTAGCCAAAGTTGTCTGTGATTGGACTGTTTTAATGGCTACTTAAAAAATTGATATTTGATGTGATGAGGGTTGATTGAAACCCCTTTCATATTCCAAGTGAAGAGCTGTAAGGGAAGGAGAGCTTGGATAGTCAGGGTAAAGTTAGTCACCTCTGTGATACCATCTATCCAGCTCTCTTCTTCTTCACAAGTGTCATTCTTCTGTTTATGTATGTCTTTCTCTCAAAGTCATTCTCTCAACTGACTGCCATTTAATAGTTGACAGAATTGCAAATAATTTGGTAGCAAAGGGGTAGGGGGTTGGGGGTGGAAGGTGACATTAAAAAAAAAAAAAAATTCTGTCTGGACCTTCCTCCCTATCCAATTCACTTGTTTCCTTTATTTATAATTAAAAGATCCAGTGACTCTGTTGTTTTATCATCTTGTCTTAAGTAAGGAATTTCTCTGTTCTTGAATTTCATAATTTTTTGGCATATTCTCTTTAGAATCTTCTTATCTAAATCCCATCCCATAGTTATAAACTGTAATCTGTTAAAATATCTCTAGTTTTACACACTCCTTCTCTTGACTCTGCCTTCTTCATTTTACTGTTATGCACTTTTCCCACTTTCTCTTTTTGTATTTCCTCATTTAACTTGAAGTATTGTTAATTGTAATTTTGAAATTTTTTCAGAACATTTTTTTTTTTTTTTGTTTTCCTTGTTTAATCTTCTAATGCAAGTATGTGTTTCTGTTCATTCTGGTGTCCAATGCATGTAATTTTTCCCTAACACTTTACATAACAATCTATGTAGATGTTTGTCTGTTACAGGGAAAAACCGATTTGTGGCCTGCCACACAACTTCATCTGATTTCATATTTAAAATAAATAAATAAAATAACTTTTTACTTTTTAAGTTCGTTTTTTTCTTAAAATATTCTTTTTATATACAACCAATTAATCATGCTGTTTTTTGTTAATGGTTTTGAAATAGTTACTACCCCTGCTACAATTGACCACAGGCGAGGGTTAAACATTTTTTTTTTCTTGCCATCCTTGTTACTAAATGCCCTACATCATCAGAATCTAAATTTGTTTTCTTGCCTCTATCTCTGCTCATTCTATCCTCTCTCTCTCTCTCAATATTACAAAACAGTGGTGAATACAGGTCAGTATTGATTCAACTAGACAATATCCACTTTCTCTTAATGCCAAATGGATATTGGCAACAACAACAACACTAAGTGGGTCTGTTTATGTTAATTCTTAACTTCATAAAATTTTTCTTCCCACATAAATATTTATGGGCAATTTCAATTCCTTAAATTTTTCTTTAGTTTTTCAGAATTAATTTTTTTCTATTAAGCATCATCATTTAATCCCAATTCCATTCTTGAGTTATTTTTGTAATATTTTTCTCTCTTGTATGATAAATGCCCATCTGAAACTGAGAAAGCCAAGTGATTTTTATCCTTAGAGCTAAAATATTGTTGAGAGTTGAGCAATAAAATTTTATGAAATCGAGAAATGACTTCCTTTTCATTTGCTTTTAATTTTTCTGTCTCTATATCAATGCCTTTTTTTAATACATTCATAATTTTACCTCTTCTAAATGATTTTTGTTATTTAATAATTTATTATCTTCATGTCTTTATTTTCTTTTCTTTCAATTCCTTTCCTTACATGTGACCAGGATCTCTTTCCCCACTTTGCCTACATCAGTCTGTGTGTGGTATGTTCCTATCTCTTCCTTATCTACACTGTTTTTATCTTTTAATATTTTACTTCTTAACCTGTTGTGTTTAATTTTGGTGATTGTCTTCCTCTGTCTTACTTCTGATATTTAACCATCTTTTTCCTTCAATTCTAGAATAACAAGAAGTTCTCGTTGATTGTGTTCAATATTGAATTTGTCTCGGTGATAAGCTATAATCAGTTACTTATTGTTTACCAGATAATAATTTGAGGAATTTCTAGGATTACAAGTGGTTTGTGGTTTGGTCCTAATTATATAGTCTTTGTTAAAATCATTAATCAAAATTAATTTAAGGAGCAATTTTAAACAAGTGTATTTTTGAAAGATTGTCTTTTATGAAATACTGTATTTTAATTTAATTAAGAAAATTTAATTAAGAAAATTTAATGGAAGAAGTATATATTTACAGTTTGTTTTGTTTGGTACTGAACTGCAATAGTTACATGTCTACAAGATAAACTGGCTTGTGACTTTTAACAAGCTTTCCATGTAGAAAGTTTTGTATTTGATGACATAATGTTCCCTTGTTTAATATTATTAGTATTATAAAGTTAGGCTAGGTACAAGTACTGGTAAACCATGGTGTCTAAGTTAACATTATCTTACCAAATACCTTAACATCATCATATAAAAACTAGAAGATATTTTTAGGTATAATTTTTATTTTTGAAAATGGTGAGGTCTTATATCGCATCAAATGTAGTAATTTGAAGGCATATTGAGCATTAAAAAATTGATATACCTAAGTGATGTGATGTTTTGACAAATAACTGCATAACAGTATATTTTTTCTTTTAACAATATCAACATAAATATAACCACATTCAAATATTATGGATATGATCAGAACCCAAAATAGCCATAATAATGATAATAATTCTGAAGCAGGTATATATAAAATAAACTGTGACAACTGTTCTTTACATTGGGCAAACTTTCAAAAATTTTAAAAATGTCTCTATCAACACAAAAAGGATCTTATACACAACAATTTTTTAAATACATTAGTCATACATAGAAATAAATTCAACTACAATTTTGATCTAAAGAATGAACTTATAAGAGAAAAGTAACTTAGATGGAAAATTCTTGACAGTGCTGCTATTGACTCTTATCAAAATATAACTCTACACCATGGATTTTTTCAAATATCTTCATTCCTGGAAGAATTACTCCAATCCCAAACCAACATTAATGAGACATTAATGAGTATAAAAATGTTTAAAAATTAAAAGAAAATGTTTAAATTCATAACCTATTACTTAAAATATATAATACATAAATTAATCCCAATAATTAATAAACTAAAATAAATATGAATTACATTATTAAAAAAAAATACTCAATTTTTTTTTATTAGACATTGAATTATGTCACTTAGCATCTTCCATAATTTACTTAGACTTTTCAGCTGGTTTGATTAAAATTTAAAAATTTTGCAAAAGTAACAGAATTTTTACTTTTGCTTATAAATACTTGTTGCAAAATAAAGTCTTTACATTTGTCTTCATAAAGTCCATCAGAGGACAAGACCTGTCAGGTAAGATAACAAGTTTCTAATGTGATTGACCACTGCTAAAGGTTTTGTATTCTACATTCACTATCAGGCAGGTATCTGCCTGATAAGTGCATGTAGTGTCAAAACTTCTGAGAAGTGGCCAGTCACATGAATAGCTTGTTATGAAAATAATATCTCAGTTCTGTCATTCAAGCATAGAG